TGGTCCCCAACCTTGGGCCTCCAGATATTCTTGGACTATAACTCCGAGAAGACTTCACCACCACCTCAGCTGGCCAGGATTTCTGGGAGTTGAAGTCCAAGAACATCTGGAGGCCCAAGGTTTGGGACCACTGTGTTAGACTACATAGGGAAGCCGTTGAAATCCACAAACACCATCACAGCTTTGTCAAAAAAGAAGGAAGTCTAAAACTCAACAAAACCTGGCTCCCAGCACTGAAAAATACAGCCTTCAAAAAGATCAACAAACTCTACCCAGCCACAAGGACTGGTGATCACTGTACACAATAGACTAGCTAACAACACCTATCAAACACAGTGATAGATCATCTCCTGCTTATCACAACAATACACCTATAACAAAAAACACCCTGATTCCCATAATCACCCAATCTCCTGAAAAGGAGACAACGCTGATCCCACAGCTACAAATACTCAACTATCCCACACACTACACAAGAACACAGACAGAGTTCCGCTTGTCTGCTTTTCAGAGGTCGTCAACCCCTTGTCTGCGGGCCAGTGCTGAACCAGACCAGGCTGCAAAGACAGACCTCCCAACCTGCACGCACTCACCCCCACACAGCCTGTTTGTGCCTGTGCATGTGCTCCAGCATGGCCATCTGAGCGCCATGCCGCCATTTGCGCGTGCACATGACTGTGCGCTTGTATGTGTGTGTGAGAGAGAGTGCACTTGTTAACGTATGCGCATGGGGGGTGCCTCACCTTCCCCAGCCAGTCCACAGGGTGAAAAAGTTTGGGGACCCCTGCTTTAAATAACAGCCCTTCATCAATTTCTGTACTCTCTCCATACGCTTGCACCACCTCCGTAGCATTGGTAGTATAGCAGGAGGTCTTGTGCTGATAACTGCCCTAGCTGTGCATTTTGAAAAAGGATATATGCCTCTTGTTTTCTCCCCACAGATCAGCTGGTGTGGCAGGCTGCCCGTTCCAGTGGTGCTGCACCAACATATTTTCGGCCTTTTGGACGGTTTCTGGATGGAGGGCTGCTGGCCAACAACCCCACCTTGGATGCCATGGCTGAAATCAATGATTACAACAAGTCCTTAATCCAGAACGTATGTGTGTGTTGCGTGGACATCTCCACTGACATTCCCTCCCTCTGATTGCAGTGCTCGTGCCTTATAGTTGTGGAGTTTGCAGACAACCTGGAGAGGAAGTTATTTATTTCATTTCATTTTATTAAAAGTACTCGGATCAGTACAATAATCAGAAAATCATATCACAAAATCAGTAAAAAGTCCTGTCAGTGTAGCAGCCAACATCATCATAAGCATCCTTCAGTCTCGAGAGACTGTGGTATCGTGCTCTGTATGGAGGACTTGGAACAGCGTCTAGTGTGGCTGAGGAGGCCAATTCGAGAGTGACACTCCCTTCCACACTTAGGACAAATACAATCTGCCCCCCATCTAGCTCCCTGATTTTGCTGCTTTCGTGACTGCCTCTTTGCCTCAGCCTGCTGGGCAAGGGTCTCTTCAAATTGGGAGAGGCCGTGATGCACCGCATGCCGCCAGGCTGAACGCTCCAATGTCAGGGTTTCCCATCTGTTGAGATCCATTTCCAAGGCCTTCAAATCCCGTTTGCAGATATCCTTGTATCGCAGCTGTGGTCACCCTCTGGGGCGATTTCCCTGCCCTAGTTCTCCATACAGGAGATCCTTTGGAATCCGCCCATCAGCCATTCTCACAACATGCCCGAGCCAGTGTAGCAGCCAACACCTTTAAATTAAACACCTATTTTTATTGCTTTCTGCTTGATTTGGTAACAGCTTCTGCTTTTCTTGCTGTTTGGGATAGGTTTTCTGCCTTTGTTTCAAAACAAAGCAGAAACACAAATCCTGCACTGATAAAGGTGAGAGATGCCACATGTTCGAATGGGTAGCGAGACCTGGGTCTTTAACATCCAGTGAACATGGTTTCAGTTTCTGATATGAGAGAGAAGCAGCCTGATGATTTATTTTTAAATCAGGAGAGTATTTTAGACTCCCAGCACCGTCCCAACCCAAGAGCTGAAGAGCCATGAGTTTCCCGCAGTGGCTTTAAAATGAGAATCAGTGCTTTAAATCTAGCGCAGAAGCTGAGACGTGGCCGGCGGAGCTGCTGAGTCCTGTTGCCTTTGAACGCCAGACTGGAGTCGGGCTGCTGCATTTGCGATGAAGTCTCTAGGAGGTATTCAAGGGTAACCAGGCATAACGAGCTTGACAGTCTGCAGGCAACTGAAGCATGGCTGACTGGAGTGAACACTGCCTTTCCTAAGAAAGGTCACAGCGGGTGCATCAACAGCTGCCACTGCGTGAGCTTGCAGAGAAAATGGTGACTTCAGGAACTTTGATGAGAAGTGAGCTTCACAAAGTGCAGTGGAGTTAGCTGCTAAGTAAAACATAAAGCAATAGATGTTTCAAGCATCTCAAGAAGTAGTGAGTATTACTGTCTTAACCCAAGAGTGGGCAACTTTTCACCCTTTAGATGTTTTAGTTTATAACTCTTGTCAGTTCCAAGCAGCATTGCCAGTGATAAAGGAATATGTCAGTTGTAGTCCTAAAACATCTGGAGGACTAAAGGTTTCCTACCTTTCCTCTGCCCTTTGAAAGCTCATGCCGCAAGAAATGTGAGATTTTTTAAGTGCTAGAGAACCCAAATTTCTGAAAAGTAAGAATATACTCCTAGTTTAGTACTTTAAAAACGCACATTCATATTGCAGTATTAATTGGAACACCTGCAGGATTTTCTAGCTTGACATTGTGGCTATTGTATTGGATTCAGTGCTCAGTTAGGCAGGTACAGTGGTGCCTCGCATAGCGATCGCTCCATTAAACATTTGCGACGATGTTTTTGCGATCACTTTTGCAATCGCTTAGTGATGGTCCCTATGGGGAAAATTCACTTTGCGATGATTGCAGGGAAGCGATCATCGCAAAGCCCCCATTTTCATCCAGCTGATCGGCGGTTCCAAAATGGCCACTGGATAAACAAAATGGCTGCCCGCTGTGTTGCCTCGCTTTAGAGGCACCGAAAATGGCCACCCTATGGAGGATTTTCGCTTAAGGCTAGTTTTTAAGCCCATAGGAACACATTAATGGCGTTTTAATGCGTTTCTATGGGCTTTTTAATATCGCTTAGCGATGAAATCGCTTAGCAGCGATTTTTGCTGCACGGCTTAACATCGCTAAGCAAGGCACCACTGTATTGGTGTTTTTGCCTTTTAGCACAAATTAAGATGGCATGGGAAATGGGTGCATAACACATGGAAGCATTTTTCTCCTCTTGAGGAATACGAGGAGTAGGTCTGGCCTTTCAGACTGACAGTTTTTTCTCCATCCTTCCAGGGTCAGGGCCACAAAGTGAAGAAGCTGGGAGTGGTGGTCTCTCTTGGAACTGGCAAAGCTCCACAAGTTCCTGTGACCTCTGTGGATGTCTTCCGTCCATCAAACCCATGGGAGCTTGCCAAGACTGTTTATGGGGCTAAAGAACTGGGCAAGCTAGTGGTGGACTGTGTGAGTACTGGAAAGAGAAGGGCATGGATTGGTGACACTAGGTATTTGTTGAGGATGTTCTCCAGTTTGGAGGAAATGAAAGGGTTTTGATGGGGAGTTATCAATAAATTAACACTTCAGGCTTTGGGGAAAAAAGCAAATGAATCACCTACTAGCTACTGTAGGAGGCCTTAACTGACTGGTGGATCTCCTTAAGACACAGATGGACAACCTGCACACCTTGCCAGTTTTTTAAGCTCCTTCCCTTTCCCCAGACCGTCCACTGGAAGAAGATTGCAGCTCTAGTTCAAACAAACTGACCCTCCAGGACGTTTCCAGAAATAGCAAGTCTGTCTCTCTCTCTCTTTTTTTTTTAAAGGGCAGATTTCCCATGCCTTCATTTGCTTTCAAAAAAAGGACCAAGTGAGAGAGATCACAAAGCTTAAGTGTATTTCTCCCAGTTTACTTTTTGGATGTAGAATGACATCTGGAGAGGTCTGGGAGTGGTAAATTGACCCCAGTTAGGAGTGGTAAACTGGCAGCTTATCTGCTCTGCCTTAACGTGATGTAAGCAAGTACTGTACTGGGAAAGATACGGGTTTTTCTCCCATCTTTTCCCAATCCACTATATGTCATGACTGAACTACAATACAGACAACTTTAATGTAAGATGAAGTGTAATTACCAAACTTCAAATCACACTAATACATTATCTTATTATCGGATTAGCTGGCTGCTACCTAAGCTACATCATTAGAAATTTCTTTTTAACAACATATCATAAAGTGTATGCAAAATCTATTGCAGTTTTTGCAGGAAAAAGCCATACATTCTTGTATGCTTTGCAGATGAGTTGTAATTGTTGGGTTTAAGAGACGATTGTTCTTTTGAAGCCATGCTGATGCAAAACCTATTGTGTTTTGTCTTTCTATTCTTATGCCTGTACTTGTAATATGGGGATGCATGCATATTTGAGCTTATTTAGATTGTGTTTTGTTTTGATCTGGTTTTTGCAGTGCACTGATCCAGATGGTCCGTGTGTTGACCGTGCAAGAGCCTGGTGTGAGATGATAGATGCCCATTATGTCAGGTATATGCTTTTCTCTGGCATGACATCTCGAGTCAGAAAAAAACGTGTGCGATTTCCTCATGGAGATGAGGATGTAGCAGCATGGCCCCCCCTATGTCTCCTAGACAGCATTAGGGGACTTATTCTGTTTATAAATACAAGTGAGAAGATCAGACTGCCGTGAAAGGCATATTGGGGCCTGTACTTGGCCTGTGGGCCATGTGTTGCTGACCCTTGTTTTCTATCCAGTGGTCAGTATTCAGTTCAGCTTCCAGTGAGAAGAAAGTCCCACTGGTGTAGTGACATGAAACTGGACAACGGTTGCCATGTGGAAGCACTGATCTCCGCAAGAAAACTCCACACACTGCTTGTGCAGTGGCAGCTTTATCCTGCATTACTTCACTGGTGGGATTCTGCTTAGCTGAACCTCAGAAGGATACTGGCCATAATGTTTTGCAGATCCAGAGTGGAATCTTTTGCCTACTGCACTGCACTGTTTCTCTGTGTGCTTGATTTTCTCCCATTTTCACATGTGCCCAACCTTCTTTCTCTTGGAAACTGTTTCTGCCCATAGCTGCTGCTCTTGTTCTCATCTGTTCACACCTCTGTGCTGTCCACAGGCTGAACCCACCTCTGGACGCAGATATAATGCTGGATGAAGTGAGCGATACGATCCTGGTGAACCTGCTCTGGAACACTCAGCTCTACATCTACCAACACTGGGGAGATCTTGAGCTGTTGGTAGAGCAGCTCGTAACACCATGAAGCTCGGCAAGACCCTGTGGCATCAATGTTGCCTCCTTCCAGTGGTTGCTTGGTGTACTGTCAAGGAGAGACACATTCTGCTGGCCAATGACTTGCTCTTGCTCTTCTCACACCAGGAAAATCCAAATGAAAGAGTTTTGGGAAACCACTTGCTGAAAGAGCTTCGAACTCCCACAGTCCATGTACTTGCAGTGGCTGCGCTTTCTTGGTATGACAGCGGCCATGTGGATTTTCAGTTTCCTTACACAACCAGATGGCATCAAAGTTGGAGCATCTCTGCTCTTTCCTGGTGTGCAAGTCCAGTTGTATTATCTTTAATGTCTTTAGTACCCTGGTTTAACCGTTGCAGTTTTCTGTCTAAAATTTTAACTGACCAATTAATATAGTTTTTTAACTGGTTGCTTTGTTCATGTTTGCTCATTAGATTCTGAATTTCTGTTGGCTGAGAGTGAGATTTATTTTCCTGCATGAGGGCATAGACCTAGTTTCCTACATGCTGTTTTCTGTTAAAATACTGTGCTTGCAGCATTTGCTTGCTGCTCCTCTCCTCTTTTGTTGGTCCAGATTCACTCTCTGTGGCTCTTCACGCTTACGAAGGTGGCCATTCTTATCTGAATGGCATTGAGGAGTGCAGGAAATTTGGAGATTATTGGATAAATGCTTATTGGTATGTGGGGCATTCTTGCTCTGCGTATCTTCTATCAAAGTTGTGGAAAGCTTTCGGTTTCCTTATGCGAGGACATTTCCAAAGAAGAGAGAAAAGCACAGGTTTGGTTCTACATCAAAAGTTAAATAGCATTGAAGAGGAGGCCTGAAGGTGTCAGGCACAAATTCTGTTTTTGTTCTCTCTCTCCCCCATAGATTTCTTCGTTATTTAGGGGGAGGTGTCAACCCATCAATGGTACTGTATTCCCTTAAAGGCAAGAGTTTAAAGTGCTGCTGTTAATGATAACTTAATTGATTTCTGCATCTTCGTTAATTTAATAGAATGTATTTTTAAAAGTCCTGATAAATGTAAAATCTAATAAGTGAGCTCGTTTCCCTATTACTTTTGTAAACCACTCCTGGTTTGTATCAAGATAAGCTGTGAAATAGTGGTGTTATAAGACTTGACATAAAGACTTGAGACAACTGACTTACTATTAAATCAAAGGAATGTTATTTGAAACCTTATTTCATCTGTACTTAATAACTCTTCCAGTCTGAGAATCATATTACTGGCAAGGGGAAGACGTTTGGTGGAATTGTAGAAGCTTGTCCATGAAAACAGAGTTTGGAAAAGTTACTTTTTGTACTTCAAACTTCCACAGTTCCAGGCCATGTTGTCTGGAGGATTCTAGAAGCTATTGTCCAAAAAAAATTAACCCTTAGTGCTCCGGCAGTAATTCACAGTCAAGACAGACCATAATAAACTTATTATTATAATACGTATATCTAATTCACAGTCTAAGCATAATGATCATACTTGCCTCCTGTTGCAAATGGCTGTATCAGCAGCTTTTGTGTTTGGCTTTAACATTATGCTGGAACGTGAAGTCTGCAGTATTAATTCCTTCTTATATTTATTTATTTCTTGCCTTTCCTTTTAGTTCAGGGCAGAGTATATGGTCCCCTTTCTACTTCATCATCACAGCAATCCTGTGAAGTGGGTCAGGCTGAGAGTGAGTGCGTGAGTGACTGGCCCAGGGTCCCCTACTAAGTTTCATAGGCCATTGGGAACTTCAACTTGAATCTCCCAAGTCCTATTTAACTAATGGAACCACTATATATATTAGCTGGTTGGATAGCTCAGTGCTTTGGGTATCTGGCTATAGAGCCAGAGGTTGGGTGTTTGATTCGCCACTATGCCTCCAGGGAGAACAGCCAGCCTGTATGACTTTGGGCAAGCTGCACAGTCCCAAGGCACCCCAAAAGAAGGGAAAAGTCAACTACTTCTGAGTACTTGCTACCTAAAAAAACTTGAAAAGAGTCACCATAAGTTAGAATTTACTTGACCGCACACAATTACTTATTATAGTTATAATTATCTGTTCACATATTACTTTTGGTTGGATAAAGGTGGTGTATGGTATTTTGGTTAAATTGAGTTTCAGTCTTAGAAAGCTGTTATAAGAAGGAGTAACCATTATTAAAGACAATGCTTGTAAAAAGTTACTTTTGTGGACTATATCTCCCAGACGTCTCCACCCTGCATTGCTAGTGGCTATACCGGCTTGGGGATTGGGTGGTATGTAGCCCAAAAGTAACCTTTCTGAGTTCTTATGGAAGTCTATACCTTAATCTAGAATCCACATTCTTATAGACTAGAATAGGTGCGCCACAAAAGGCTGGTACAGGTGTGTTCCAAAACTGAGGAAGCCTGTGGGTGACGCTCAAATCTAATGTAATCTTCTCAGTCAAAAGGACAGGCAACTTGATGGTCTTGTAGAGCGATCCAGGAAGCAATATATTGACACGAACAATAAATGATTAAAGGTAAAAGTCACATGACCTTCATGGCTATCACAGGATTCCTCCCTATCTTGTATCTGATTACACTTCGGCTCAGGTTCTTGTAGCCTGGCTGGTGAATTATTAAACCCCCAGCAGTATTTCAAAGTAAGCACCCATCATCTCTGCTGCATCCTGCAGTTCCAGGAAAAAGGCTCTAGTTGTGGAACTGGATTTGCTAGTATATCTTAAGGCTGCCTGCTTCTTCACCATCTGTATTCCCGGTGAAGGGACTCCCGGATCATCATCAGTTACTTGGAGATATGGAGCAATCCTACAGAGCTACAATCTCTATCTACAAGGTGAGACTGAATTGTCTTTATGCATAGTCTGGAACATAAGAGGCTAAGAGAAAATGCGGTTTGTAAGGACTGTACTTAATGCAGAATAATGTGAAAGACAAAATGAACTCAGCAAAAGCGATGGGAAAATATGATTTTGCTAGATTCTTAAACTTTGTGGGCCAAATTGCTTCAGATGATATATAAATGAGGGTCTATGGATTTTGAACCAAGAATAGCTTGTGCATCATGATTCAGTCTGAAGGGAAACAGGTTTGGTGACAAATTGTGAAATCTCTAATAATAGGTACTCATAGATTGAGGCAGCGGCAGGCAGCAGACCTTAGCTGTCACAAAGGGACAGCAAATTTTTAATTAGTTAATTTTTTTGCTAACAAGGGTTTATTTTTACCTGCCCGAGGATGCAAAGGGGCATTTCTGGGCTTTTCTACCTCATGGCCCAAAATGACTTCAAGGGCTTTTGCTGCAATGCTCTCTCCATGGGTGGGGTTTTTAGCACTTCTGCCTCAGCCAGCAAAACGTCTTGGGCTGATCCTGTGACGGAACTCCTGAATGCTTCACACCCTGGCAGAAATCCAGCAGTAAGTTGCAACCAAAACAGGCTAAACGGTTTAGGGCCTCGATACTTGGCGGAATGCCTTCCCCCACCAAGATCTACCCGTGTCACTCGCGCGAGCCAGGAGGTGAGGCTGAGGAGCCTAATGCCGAGGGAGGCCTGGAAGGAAAAGACAAGAAATTGGGCCTTCTCGGCGGTGGCTCCTCGCCTCTGGAACAACTTACCCCCTGAGATTCGCGTGGCCCCCTCGCTGGGTATCTTTAAAAATCAACTAAAAACACTGATGTTTCGGCAGGCCTTCCCCCCTAGTTAATTCCTGATTCCCCCTTTTCTTTCCTAGCGTCTAACCCAATTGTTGAAAGTTTTATGTAAAACTGCTTTTATTCATTGTTGTACCCCTTGTTGTAAGCCGCCTAGAGTGGTCTTAATTGACTAGATAGGCAGTATATAAATAGAATAAATAAATAATAAATAAATAAATAAATAAATGAATCCATGGGTATTTGGTGCTATATAAGTTCCATTGATTTAATGGGCCTACTTCAGTTGCAATTTACAGCTAGATTTCAGCCATTGTGTAGCAATTGTATTCACTATGCTTCCTCAAAGGAACACAGGGTGATGAGTGGGTGGACTTCATAAACACATACATGCATTAGACACTTTGTTAGCTTCACAGTGGGATTCTGGGAGATAGAGTCCAAAAACAACTGATGATCTTCTTAAGCCTATATATCTTGCTCTGGCTTAAGGCTGAACTGAAGCGAGGAGACACATAACTAATCCATCTCCTATAGCTTCTGCAAGCTCTGGCTGCTACTAGCAAGTATACACCATGTTTTTCAGAATACAGTATGTTCACACTGGTAAAGTTGCAGAAAATGTGGCTGCTATTTAAAATCTGAGCTGCTCTCAATGTTAAAGGTGGGGACAGCAGGTCTGAGCATCTGACTTCTCAGCATTTAGTTCCACTGCAAGCATACTCTATAGCAGAGGATCCTTTTCCAAGGAAGATTTTGTAGGGAAATGAGTTCCTGCTTAGTGTAGCATTTTGCTGGCTTCCAGCTTTAAAAGACCTTGGCAGTAGGAAGTAAAGGGAGGATTGCTCAAAGGAGCAGCTTGCAGTCCGATTGCAAACAACATGAAAGCACCCCAGCCCCACTTACTTTTTAAAGTTTCAGTAATACTGAGAGAGGTTGGTCTTTCAGTGCTATCTAGCCTAGCTGAACTGAAACCATTGTAAGCATGACACTATTGTTTTCAGTTCAGAAAAGATGAAAGGGCAATTCAGTAAACCCAGTGCAAGCAAAGGAAACCAATAGCCTTAAAACTATAGAAACTATACTTGAACAATGATATCAACGCCAAGACTGCATTCTTGCACACATTTCCCTACAAGTAAGCTCTATTGCACTCGGTATACAGTATTCACGTTAAGTAATCATACATAGGTTTTCATGCGTTTATGTATGTTGTATGGAGCTGGCTGGATAGTTCAGTGGTTTAGGTATCTCAGAGGCTGGGAGTTTGATTCCCCACTGTGTCTCCTGCAAGTAGAGCCAGCCTGTGTGGCCTTGGGCAAGCTGCACAGTCCCAAGGCCCCACCCTACCCCCATAGAAGGGAATGTTAAAACACATCTGAGGATTCTGTACCTGGAAAACCCTGAAAACAATCACCGTAAGTCAGAACTGACTTGATAGCACATGATCGCCATTATGCTGCATGGATACTAGATCCAGTCAAAGGTTTAGAGTGTCACCTAACCCCAACAAAATACTCTTCAGATCTGGGTGTAAAATCAAGTTCTGAAGATGCATGTGTACCATAATACTTCATGCCATCAGTTCTGGTGCTGTCTTGTTTCATTTTGAGTCTCCACTCATTTCTCAATCATGCTTCTTTTTATTTCTGGTTGATGTGCCCAATCATGCTTTGAGAGCTGGCACATAAACAGAACACTATTATTTATTCTTCCCCACAGAGCACCTAATGGTGGATTTTACAATCCATTTAAATTGGTCCTGTTCATTACGTCCTAAAAAAGAATTAGAAAAATCATAATAAAAGATTGCTTAGCAGCAGTGAATTGGAGACAACTAGATGAGGCCAAGACAGCCTTTTGGCAAATTTGCTGGAAATATTCTTAACCAGAATGTGAGAATGGAATATTCTACAGTACTAGGAAACATGAGTGTGAAAAACATAGTGCACAGTTCTATAGTTGAGTACTAGTAACTTGGATTTATTTGTCGTAACTCATGTATTTTGTGTAGGGATGGCACATCTGAGCCTCTGTTTTAAATCTGGGCAGCAAATTGTCCTAAGGAGCATTACTGCTTGGGGCAGAAACCACAAACTGTACTCTTCATGGTCATATTTTTATTTCTTTTTATTTATTTAATTTATATCCTGCCTTTGACCTGATTCAGGTAATAAAACAGTAGCACTACTTATAATTCATTGATAATTTGCTGGCCATTTCATGGCACCTCAGAATCTTGGATCCTCAGGCAGAATGCCTAAATATAGGCCTATAAAAGATTTTATTTATTTTAATTTATTTAATTTATATCCTGCCTTTGACCTGATTCAGGTAATAAAACAGCACTACTTATAATTCATTGATAATTTGCTGGCCATTTCATTCTCAGAATCTTTGATCCTCAGGCAGAATGCCTAAACATAGGCCTTGCCTATAAAAGATGGTGCTTCCTCCAGGAAGTAGTTCTATTGTTGTTGTAACAGGCAGATGAAAGGTGTTGAGCAAGTGTCATGGCAGTATCAGGCCAATACCCTCTTCATTCTATGTGGAAAAGTGGACTGGACAGGCATTTGACCCTCACTTCAGAATGGGCATTGGGTAGGGTCCTCTATTGCATCTGAAAGCAGCAGGTTGGTTTGGGGGTACAAGACGAGCTGTGTGTTTCACAAAAGATAAATAGTCAAGCTATTAAAAAGGAAGAACTAAGGGTCTGACACTCCTGCTCCCTGCCATCTATCACCTGAGATAGTTGCTCCCCTCTGTCTAACAGAAGGACTACCACTTCATCACGGGCACTTCTTGCACACAGTGAAACAATACAAATCCATTACTTCTACCTTGACTTCTTTATCACAGGGCCTCAGCAGGGGAAATGCTGAATTGGTTCTGTTGTTAGAAGCACTGCACCCTTAAAAGAAAAAAAAACTGTCAATTTAGTTGAACAGGAGCTTGTGTCAATCTGCGTTTGACAATTTAGCTTGTTTTATAGTTGGTCAGCTGGGAACTTTATTTGCAAGGCTGATGTCATAGGCATAGAGTATGGAAAAATTTGCGTATCTGGAGAGAGAGTATTGTAAAATCAGGAAATATATATCTGCCTGTGATCTGACAAGCTGCAGCCCTATAGGCATTAACTTGGGCTTATATGGAAATGTGTTCATCAAACACCATCCATTCCATTTTCTTATTTTGAAGTATAATTATATCATTGCTCCTTGCTTGTTTATACAACTTGGGCTGCTTCCCTTGAATTATTTTCTCCCTTGGCAGTTCCCAGTGTTTATAAAAATCTTAGGAATTACTAGAAGATTTCAACAAGAAGGAAATTCCTGTTGGAATTTTGTCCAGATCTTTCAGTATCACTGTTCTGCTTCAGTATATGCTGGCCGGACGCTGTTTAAAGTTCACAAGAATAAAGGAAAAGAATATTATTGTTTGTGAAGTATTTAATAATGGACAAAAGTTTGCACATCTTTTTTCAAAGGCAGTAACAAAGTCTGTCCAAGCAGAACAGTTGACCCAAGACATATTTCAGTTGCTAGTGACTACAGCACATGATCCACATGCACTGCATGCAGAAGCCCCCAGTCACTTCAATCTCTGTTATATGATGCTAAAAAGAAAATTCAGGTTTCAGGGCAGGGATTGGAAAAGGTCCTGAACAGTGGATACCCTTGTGGTAACTGGCATCAGATTTGTAACTGGGACAGATTTGTATGGTGCAATAAATCTTTGGCCTTCTACAGGATGGAGAAAAGATAGTAAATCATACGAATACATAAGTTAATGCTTCCCAGGATTTTAATGAGATTTTTGCTAATATATTAATTTCTTTTTAATCCTTCCATTCACCTGGATGGCTACCAGAGCATCTTGGAACAGTTTAACCCAGCTCTGGAGAACCTGGTATACCTGGGCAGTAAGTATGTCCGGGCTTTTCATGGTGAGTAGCCATACTAGCTGACTTTTCACCTGTTGGCCAGAAGTAAATCTTTCTGTTTCTGTGGCACTATGTTGGCTGGCCAATAACCTTAGGATTGTCTTTGAGATACGCATGTCAGGGGCCGAACTTGGAAGACTGCCTTTTTAGATTACAACTGCTAGAATCCCTCAGCCAGTATGGCCTCTGTGGCGGCAAGTGAGCTTGAGAATTACAGCTCAAAAAGTAGCTTTTCCAAGTTCTGACACGAGCCAGGGTAAAATTGACTTTATAGACTTTGCTCCTGAACTCATTTACTGTCCAGAGGTAGAGAAGACACTGCAGAGTCATGCATCTGCAAGCATAAATGCTTGGCAGTGTTGAATTTTGGCTAGAAAAATCTTGAGTGATTCAGCAGGGACCTACAGAACAGAATCGGCTTCAAGTCTCCCCAGAGTAGGCCACCACTTTTGGTAGTTTCATCAACTAGCACTTACAGCCTCAATAACTCACTCTGAGGCATTGGTAAGAGGAAGAATAAAAGATTAAATTTACTCACACTTCTGAACAGATAAAAAACAGCATATTGTAGAAAAATTGTGTAACAATTTTAACAGGCCTTAACTGACTCAAAATCTGCTTACTGACTATACATACTCCACTACATGACAAACTCTAAACACACACTGAATACTGACTGAAAAAGAGTGGGAAAAAGACTCTTAGGTAGAGAGGCATAGGTCTCCTCATAATCAGAGGTAAGGAAGGAACAGTTGGTTACTGTTGGATTGACTGACAGTCACCCTTGCTTAGAAATGTCCCTCCCAGCCAAACCTCTTATAGAGAGCATACAAAGGTTGATAAAGCTCCAACACAAATTGCAGAAACAGCACACTGCCAAAAGAAAAGAAAAGAAACACACTGGATACACGATACTCATACATGGCTTTAGCTGTCGGTCCTGCATTTCACATGTGGACTTAACGTATACAGTACTGAGGAGATGGGGTCAACCTGAGACATTCTGCTGCCTGAGCCAAAGAACACAATGGCACACGCTCCTGTTCCAGGTGCAAAACGCAACGGCAGCAGCAACTGAATCCTTTGACACTGGCAAAAGGGACCAAACAGAGTTTTGTTTAAAGGCAGCAGTTTAACACGCTGCTCTCTCTTCTCCAAGACCTCGCTGCCACTCCTTCTAACTCATCACCTGAGAGGACCGCCACACTCTGCCTAACTTTATTTATTTAAAATTTTCTTACCCTGCCTTTCTTATTTAAAAAAGGACCCTAGATGGCTTACATCAATAAAAGACAAAGTTTAAAAGCTAAAAAACAGTAAGTATACAACTATTACAAAAGAATAGAACAAATACTATTACTAAAACAGTAAAGAAAATCAGTACCAAAACACATACAAAGCAACAAGACACGACAGTCCATAATATATAGTATATATTAAGGCAGAGAAAGGTAATCATTGCTTGCAGAAAGACAGCAAAGATGAAGCCAGCCTGGTTCCAGTGGGAGGAGCTCCCAGAGTCTGGGAGCAGTGACAGAGAAGGTTTTTTCCCAGGCCCCCACCAAATGCTCCTGTGAGGGTGGTGGGACCAAGAGGAAGGCCTCTCCTGATTATCTAAAAGACCAGGCAGACTCACAGAGGGAGATGTGGTCTTTTAGATAGCTTGGACCCAAGCCATTGAGGGCTTTATGGGAGTTGCTGTAACAGGAGGGGTTATAGGATCCCTGTAACCAGCCCCAGTTAAAACTCTGGCTGCAGCATTGTGGATCTGCTGAAGTTTCCAAACACTTTCCAAGGGAAACCCCACATAGAGCGTGTTACAGTAATCCAGCCGGGATGTAACTAAGGCATATGTCACTGTGGCCTGATCTAGGAAATGGGCACAGCTGATATAATTTTAATTGTGCAAATGCACTCCTGGCCACTGCCAAAATTTGAATGTCCTGGATGAGGATGAGTCACTGTGGCCAGATCAGACCTCTCTAGGAAATGGGCACAGCTGATATAATAATTTTAACGGTGCAAATGCACTCCTGCCCACTGGCAAAATTTGAATGTCCCGGCTGAGAATGGTAGGGCCACCTCTGCTAGCGGGTACGATAATGGCCCCGCCCCTTCAATGCTACACCAAGTGTCTGGGGTGGCATATCTTCTACATGAGAGAGGGAAGTTCTCTATTTGAAAGGCTGTCTAGTCTGAGCTCTGGTTAAAGATTTGGAACCTTGAGAAGCGAGAGCTGGTTGGGGGTCTTGAAACTGCCCATCCACAGCGAGCGATGGGACCGCAGACTGCGCAGGTCACCTGGGCGCAATGGCAGGTTATATGTCCACAGCGAGCGATGGGACCGCAGACTGCACAGGTCACCTGGGCGCAATGTTCCCCATTATGGCAGGTTATATACATGGCCTGGGTCCAAGCTATCCCAAAGACTGTGTCTCGCACTATGAGCCAGCTCCAGTGTTAAGATCATCAGGAGAGGCCTTTCTTTAGGTCCTGCCAGCTTCACAGGTGCGTCTCAGGAGGACATAGGAAAAGGGTCCTTCTCTGTTGCTGCTCCCAGACTTTGGGCCTCCCTCCATCAAGAGGCCAGACTGGCCCCATCTTTGCCGTCTTTCTGCAAGCGGGCAGAGACTTTTCTCTTCAGGCAAGTTTTCTCCCAGTGACTTGTCTACATGAATGACTGGCTATATGGCTGACATATATGAGTGACTTTCACATGGATTGTTATGCCTTACTGCTCTAACTGGGTCTTTAGTACTAATTGTCTTTACCATCTCTTAGATTAGTGTCTGTTCCTTTTAAGTATTTGCATATTTATTGTTTTAGCTTTAATATTGTCTTCTAATTATGTAAACTGCCTCTTTATACTCATTGTTCTTAACCTAAATATTGTCTTTTCATGATGTAAACCATGTTGTATATTCATTGTTTTCAGCTTTAAATATTATTTTTCAAGGTTGTAAGCCACCTTTTTAAAGAGAAAGGCAGGGGCATAAACAAACAAACACATTGTAGTTTTCTTTAAATTATAGTAATTCTTAATGTACATTCATATATGTTAACTAATATAAGAAATCTTCCAATTTTCTGGAAGTCATCACCATCCGTTGCCCTCCTTGTTTTCTGCCTTGGATTCTGGTGTAGAACAATGGAAGTATTGTTTGTTAGGAGAAAAATTTATGAGAAGCACAGATGTGAGCAAAGGTACTGAAAGCGGCAGGAAATGGAGAGAAAATGGGAAGAGCCATAAAGAACGAAGAGAAAGATGAGAAATATATTGTCAAGTCTTCTAATGTGCTTTGTAAAACATTTCTGCAGCATTATCTGAGGCCGCTGGTGTCTATTTCACAGCAATCCAAAAGATTGGGGAACAAGCCTTACAGAGCTCGACCTCACAAATACTGGGTAAGATTCTGGCCCTGGTCTTCCTTTTCCACAATCACCTGTCCCAAACTTAGCTGGGTGTTGTGACACTCTTTTTCTAGGCCAGCCTGTGCCTGCAGTGGCTGTATCAGAAACAGAATTTTTAAGCAGTTGGAATGTTATCTGGTTTGGAAATGAATCTAGTCTGTAAGCATATTATGTTTCTGAATTTTGACAAGACTGGAGATATGACTGGATGAAAGGAGGGCTGAAACTGAAGTACCCAGTAGATGAACAAGAAAGAGGATTTTAGACACACTTAGACTCCTTGATTGCCAAGATGACTGAAGGTCACCTGAGCTGACACCAGGTCAGTAGAAGCTGTGTTGAATCTAAGCTTCTCTGGATCTTGGGACATTACTAGGGACTCCCCTCACTTTGGCCTGATTTTATGTGGATATAGTAGCTTGACTCTGGCCTGGAAGAAGTCTGGATAGAGCATAATTTAGCTATTCCCTCATCCCACTCCAATGTATTTTGGATAGCTGTGTCAAAGTATAGAAAAAGACATACTGTAGATCCAGTTGTAATTCTTACACTGAGATACAAAGTACTTAACAAGTATGGTAGTGGCTATGACAATACGCAGTTTCTCAACCAGTAAGGGACAGCAAAGAATATGTATACTTTCAATAGTTATATACGTATGTACCTGATGCAGTGCATCAGCAATAATCTATATACAGTAAAATATATTTGTTAAAAAACTTTTTTTTTCACTTCCCCTGTTCTCTGACAAGCACAGAAATGATTCATTTGCCAAACCCCTGAAGTGGCTTGCATGTGTCTTCTTAAAGTTTTCTCATGCAAGCTATAAACAGTGTAACAATAAGTTGGACTTTTGTTCCAGAATTAGATAACATTTTGCATGAAGTGATGTGTATAACTGACACTTAATTATGCTAACTGATTTATTATATCCTCTATATACTGTATTTCGTTATCATTTCTATGGTGATTTGCACAGTGCAAAGTTCTTTGTGAGCCTTTAATAACAGATCGATCATTCCTTCCTCAAATCACACCTATGAAGTAGCTCCGATAAGGAGGGATTTAGCTCATGCTATTCAGAGCTTTATAGTGCAGCTAAATGCTATCACCTTTCTCCAAACCAGAGACAGATAGATGTCCATTTCACACATGGTCTACATAAATCCATATCTTAGTGTAGATAAGGTCAGTTTGCAGAATTTGTGCAGAACAAATTATTCAAGTATCTTCAGTTTATAGCCAGTGTTTGGAAAGGTTACTTTTAAAAATTATACCTCCCAGAATCCCATCAAGAAATTCTAGGCAATATTATTCAAGAAAGTATATTTTCCAGGCTTTTTTGTTGTTGTTGCTTTTAATATTTCTTCATAGCCTCATCTCATTCTCTGCTTTAGCCTTTCCAACACCATCCCTGCAATTCTTTGCTATTTGTCTGTACTCTTCCATTGTCATGTGAAGAGGAACCGATTAAAGCAGTTGTACCTGGAAGTGAGCCGTCCCCTTAATCATCTCGGGAGGAAGGAAGCGACACCATGTTACATAACTTACCTGCAATGGTTCAAGAATTGTCTTTATAAGGAGGTCAGGCTATTGAGAGGGTGGAGGAGTAAAAGGCGAGAAGAGAACAGTCAGTAGTGGAAGGTTTTTTGATGATGACAGAGTGGGAGAAAAAGGTGGGAGAGAAGAGGAGTTGGGGTTCGGAAGAGTGGATAGACACGGGAGAGAAAGAGGAGAGTGAGCGACAAGACAAAGAAGAAGGGCCATATGTGTTCTCATTCCCAAAGAATTAAGAAAGGGATAGTGATAGAGGGAGCAGACCCTCATGTGGACATGGAGCAACGGGTATAGAAGTCCAGTTAGGGGAGTTAGACCCACTAGAATGGACGGTCTATGTCTATCTGAGAGGGAAGGGTCCTTGGAGGAAGGTAGTGCATCTTGAACCCATCCCCACTGGGGAGACACCCCGCAAAGGCGAATGAGCACGTCACCCATGCTGTGGGAGCGTATGCACAATAAGGAGCACCCCATTGAGAAAGACGAACGATTGGGAGAGATTTGGGATGTCACCACGTTGAAGGAGATAACTATACAGATGGGACTGCCTATGAAGGAGATAACTACAGTATATAGATGGGACTGCCTATGAAGGAGATAACTATACAGATGGGCTGGTTCGCCTATGTTTAACGGTCATGTTGGACCTACAGAAGTTATTATATACCCTTTACCTCCTGAAGATAGTAAACGTTTGGTTAAAGATAACTCGTCTCCTGTGGTTAATTGCGTTAAAGAAGAGGAACTGCTTAAATTAGAACAAGAATCCGATCATATGTTGCCTTGCCTTCTTTCCACTTACTATATGTGTCCTTTATTGTTTTCGGGTCTTCTCTGAGCTTTTTGTGAAACCATAGTGGTCTTTTTTGCTGTCTTCTGCTTTTTTTCTTGCTGGAATTTTCTGTAGTTGCAGTGCTATACTATAGGACCCACTATATCTGTAAGTCTGGTATCAGCACTTTCACTGTGGTTTTCACAGCCTTTGTCCTGCCTCCTGAAATGTTATATAGAGGGTTTCCTCGTATGTGAGGTTTCATGTATCCACTATAGATTGTGGAACTAATCCCCCATGGATATGGGGGGGGGTTCTACTGTACTAATTTTAGAACCAGGCTTCTTTTGAACCTTAAAGAAACATGCAGCCATTATGACTCATTACCAGCAATAGCCAACATGGCTGATGCAAAATGGTCTCACTCACAAGCAAATAGCAAAAACATAAAGTCTATTCAAAACCAACAGAAAGTATTTTGGCACCTCGGCAGTTGAGTGCAGAGCTTGAAAAGGTTACTTTCTTAGACTACAGCTCTGAGAATCCCCAGCTAATATAACCCATTGCTATCAAACTGCATTCACTTTGGCAGGTTGAAAATTGTGTGCAAGCTTGAAATATGCAAAAAAACCCACAACTATATGATCAATCTCTCCCTCTCTGTCTCTCTCTCTCTCCTCCCTCCCCTACACTTCCATCTGAAGGTGAAATATTGATACAGATGTCTGACACCCAAATGCACTTGAACCGCAACCTGGAAGCAGTAGTGAGTATCTTGGAAGGAAGCAACTAGAACAATACAAGATTGTACATAGAAAACATAGCAGAAAGAACTGTAGAGTGTAGCTGTGTGATTCTAGCATGTTGGCTTGATATCCTCCACAATAATGGAAAAGAGGGCTTGTTTTCCACTTTCTCTATTAACATCTCTGTTTTCATTGTATGTGTATACAGTGTATATACGTTCAATGACAATAAATTAGAAAATACACTGTATTATTAAATTAACACTCTCATTTAGTACATATGTAGTATGGAAAAAAAGAGTTATGTATGCAGGTAGGCAAACCCACATTTGTAAGTGTGCTTATTACCTATATACTGTAAATACAGACTGGCTATGTGTATAACCACTGATAAAAGCATATTTATTATCACAAAATGGGTGAAACAATGATATGACGTGCTTATAGGCTAGAGAACTAGCAACTTAGGGTTCCACTGAAATGTGAAAACAAACCATGGTTTGTTATGAGAATGAGCATGTTGGCCCTCCACTCACATGCTTTCGTGTCAGTGGAGAAGTGACAAATTTGACAGCAGGTTTTGGTGTCTGATCCTGGTCTGATCTGAACTACATATCTTGGTTTAAAAACAAAGAAACTGAAGGATTTCTTAAAGGTCCCGTTTTAGCCATGCCCATGTTAATTTATGATCATGCTTTCCATCAGTATTTCTCAGTAGTGGTTTATTTTTCCAGCTGTTTAATTTATTTTCAAATTGTTGTCTCTTATATATAAAATATTCTCCATTTTCAGTGCCTTAAGTAATTTTTCTCTGCTTGTACTGATATAATCATTTAGGCTTCTTTCTTCCTCCTCTACTACCTGCTGTATTTGCAATAAAAAGTCAAGAGGCATTATATTGAAGAATGCAAAAAGACTAAAAAGAAACCTTAACATGGCCTGGATAAAAGGCATAAAAAGGCATTTGACTCATTGCCACACAGCTGGATTAACAAATGCCTAAAATTGGAATGATGATGATGATGATGATGATGATGATGATGATGATGATGATGATGATGATGATGATGATGATGATGATGATGATGATGATGGTTGTTGTTGTTGTTGTTGTTATAGGCACAGTCAAAAGTATAAAAAAATTGACTGATTATATAACAGATACAAGTTTTAACAAAAACACTATCTGTTAAATATTGGCGCAGTATGTATGCTGTTGCTAATTTTACTGTTTTTTGTAGCTCTGATGATGTGATTTCTGAGATATGCAACTGCTTATAGTACTGTGTGAAATTCTATCATCATCATCCTTTAATTTGTGGCTGTTACTGATTTATGGAGCTGTGTTCATTTTCCATGTGTTATTGGAGGCCACTCCCATAGTAGCCTTATGGGAGAGGTTACTATTATGCACAATTCACCAGTGAGGAACTGGGAAGGAGACTGACTTGCCAAAGACCAGACAGTGAGTCTGTAGTGAGTCTGGGTTTCAGACTAATTTTTGCCACTGAAAATCTAACTCTCAGTCACCTGTCCTTCTAGTTCTCCCTTAGGAATATCAGCAATTGAAATATATCCTGCTGTACGCTTTGTCCATCCACAATAGTCTTTATACTGACTGATGGTGGCTCTTCAGAATCTCATGGAGCGGTCTCACACAATACCTGATCCTTTCTTTAAAACTGGAAATGTCTTGCATCTTCTCCTAGGCTTAATGCCCAGTTATTTCTCCAGACGAGGAAGGCACAGTTGGCATGGTTTTTAAGAATATCCTTTCTTTTGTTGAGTAGGCACAGACCTTCCATGTCGATTTGCTTCAGCACATGGAGAAAAACACAAAGCTGGATATGCAGTTCATCAATGTGAGTCCCAACTTCTCTCTAGCCTGTGTCCTTTTATTCTCCACTTGGCTAAACTGTATATTATAGAGAATGTGTCATTAGATAAGCAGAAAACTGTTAGTATCTTAGAGACCTGATTCAGGCAGACATTCATGACCGAGCAGTCATACTTGCAAATGAAGCTTACTTTGTAATACAGTGGGGTCTCTACTTAAGAACTTAATCCGTATTGGAAGGTGGTTCTCAAGTTGAAAAGTTCTTATGTTGATTCTGCATTTCCCATAGGAATGCATTGAAAACCATTTAATCTGTATCTGCTCTTTTCCGTCCATAGAAACTACAACGGAACCTCTACTTAAGAACTTAATCGGTTTTGGAATGGTGTTCTTAAGTTGAAACGTTCTTCAGTTGAAGCAAAATTTCCCATAGGAATGGACTGAAAACCAATTAATCCGTTCTGGCTGTTGTTTTGTTATGTAGAGGTGCGTTCGTACATTGAAGCATTAGTTCCCATAGGAACTAATGCAAAGCTGGTTAATACGTACTCTACCACTAGGGGGAGAATTTTTTTTAACCTAAGATGACCTAAGGTTAAAAAAAGAGCAGAAAAGTTTTTTTTTCCTGTTCTTATCTTGGATTTCTGTTCTCAAGTAGAAGCAAAATTTAGCAAATGGAGCTGTTCTTAAGTTGGATTGTTCTTAAGTAGGGACGTTCTTAAGTAGAGACTCCACTGTAATGAGTCGCAAATTAAAGCAAACTGATTTGCAAACCACAGGAAGTGTGAACATCTCTTCTTGTGATAATCAGACATTCTCAAGATGGCTTTGCCCCTTTCAGTTTTATTGCAGACTTCAGCAGCAATTGAAGAGTCATTGGCTTGTTCAATATAGTCTAAGCATCCTAGTGTGGCTATGCTGACATTGTGTTGACCCACACAAGTACAAACACTGTGTAACACAAAGACTGACAGATAAAAGAATGATGGGTGATTAAGAAAAGGTTGTTTGGTTCAGAAATACAGAAATATAGAATTTGGAACTCTGACCTGAGAAAGTGGGATATTTATCTATGAAAACTTGCAAGAATTGTGGGGTATCACATCTTCTACTAGAATGTATCCCACTCCCCCAGTAACTCCTTCAGTCTCTGGCCCTGAATTGCCATTAACCTTTATTTTAGCAAGTGACTATTTTACTCTTCTTTTCAGCCAGGCATTCAGGATTTTGTTTTGCATTTTAACATATTTACTCATACAGGACAGTCGTCAGCGATATGAGAAGGAATACCGACGCAGAGCTGCCAGCATAGATAAATGCATGTCAGATTTGTGGAAGATGGAGAGAACTCGAGACAAAAACACCCGGGAAATGAAGGTAAGGGTGTTTACAGAGAATTTAATAATGTGATGCTTCCAGACCTTGGGTCCCCAGATGTTCTTGGATAACAACTCCTAGAAATCCTGGTCTGCATAGCTAAAAGCCATATATTTGACTAGCTGGTAGTGGAATTTTCTAGGACTTTTCTTCCAAGACTGTCTGGGGACCTAAAGTTGGACAGGAATAATTTATTGGAGAATTTTTTTAGCCACTCCAGAACGAAGCAGCACAAAATGGCTTACAAAACAGAACAACGCTGAGAACAGCAACAAATTATTAAAACATATGAATGAGCTAAAAGCAGCAGGAGCGACAAAATCTAATGCTTGTTGAAAGATAAACAAACAGAGGGCTTGGTGATGAAAAAAATATAAGTTTAAAGAAAGTCAGTGTGGATTAGTGATGGGAATGTGGTGACTCATATGCATCACAGCAAAGTCAGCCCTCTTTGTTGGCTACATTTGCAAACTGAAAAATGTTATTTAGAAGCTCTTTCCCATGGGATGACAGGAGGCCATCATGACCATGTCTTTCTTGTTGAGGATGATGGTGGTCTTGCAACAATCTTTTCTTTTTTCCTTCTCCAGGAGAACATGATGCGCTTGCACACGGAGATGCAAGCTTTTGTCAGTGAGAGCCAACAGGCTGCTGAGCTGGAGGAGAAACGCCGTTACCGCTTCCTAGCTGAGAAGCACCAGCTGCTCTCCAGTACTTTCCTGCAGTTCTACACTAGGGTGAGGAGGAGACGAGAAAGCAGAGAGGAGAAGAAAGCAGGAGAAGAGAAAGCATGGGGGAGCAGGGAGTGAAATCCATGGGTGATGGGCTTCATTTGGCATTAAAAGGAGCCCGGCAGAAGGTCTCTGGTGAAGAAAGTAGGGCTTTTTAAAACAGGAGAAACAGAAAGGAAGGAAGACATTTGGAAAAGCAAGGGAAACAGTGACCTTACGGGCCACAGAACAAATAATAATGTCAAAGGCAGACCATAGCTGTACGTCTACTGTTCTGAGCACTCCAAATTTCAGATTATTAGCCTTTTGGGAAGTAGATCAAAATAGACAGTATATTTTATTTTGTTTTGTTTTTGCTGAAATATTAGATCAGATACTAGAAGGACTACGGATTGCCCAGGCAAATAATGAGATCCCCCCCCCACTCCAGAGAGCTTCTAGTTCCATTTTATGATAGCCAGTGCTAGATTACAGGCTTATTTATTATTGGCATTTCTGATTCCAGCCTTCATCATTCTCAGCTTTATTTTGGATCTGGGCAAAAAGGAGAAAAGAGGAAGAAAAACTTGATTTCAGAAAATAAAATCAAAATGTTGAATACACACACACCGAGAAGGGGGGGGGGAGAGGGAGAGGGAATACTCAGATTGTCATGTGAAAATGAATGAATGTCCAGTTTACATAAAATATTCCATATTTTGAGAGAGGGAGTTGAATCTAGATTTTTTTTTTTTTAGGGGGAATTTCTAAATCTTTTCTCCAGTTTGCCAGGTGAGCGTTTTACGCCTTTAGGAAACAGCCAGAATGTCATGGGACTACTTTATCAAGGACTGCTGAACTATGATAGAAGGAATGACACCTTTTTGTGCCATTCAGCATCCTGCTAGAACTTGTGGGCCTACAATTTTGTCTAAGTTTTGGCTTATATCTCTTCTGTGGTATTTCTTAGTCTATGTTATTGTTTTCGTTACCTCTGCTAAGGCCCAGGCCATTATTCAGAACAAGGCACCCCTGTGGAAGGAGCAGCTGGAAGCCACCCGTAATTCTGCCCAGAACCTGCTCAGCACTGCCCACAGCCAGAGCCATTCCTCTGGTTGTCTGACTCCAACCCACGTGGAGGTGGTAAGGGAAACAAACACAACCATTGCCCCTCCCTCATCCTGTGGCGTTTGTTCTCCTGTTCATTCTAAGTCCTCTAGTCAAATATATGGCTTTTAGAGGTTTCCCGTTTCAATGCTAATGAATGTAAATGACATATATATAAAAGAGGGAAGTTTATAGTGTGTGCTTCTTATAAGAAGTTTAAAATGCAGTAAGAGGAAGATCTGAAAAACAGTTAAAACTCTACTGAGTCCACCTGCAGTTCATTCCTCTCCAGATGTCTATCAAGACTGCAATGTGTTAAAGTATGATTTGAACAATTTGTTATCTAAAGCAGAATTTGCATTGGTATGTTTGTGACACAGGAGAATAGAGAGAATTCTGGCCAATTAGTAACAAACAGATTCAGACAGCATAAACAGAACAACAACAAAAAATATTTTCAGGAGATTTATTAATTACGTATTGTTATTATTATTTATTTCATTAATTTATATACTGTCTCAGTGTGATGCAACTATTCAGGATGGTTAATAAATAATAAAATGAAACAAGCAGTAAGAAAAAAAACAGTGAAATCAAGAAGGTTAATGTAGAAGTAAAATCATCAAGTTTCAAAGGCAAGATAGCACAATCTTTCATACTTAAATGGCAGATGTGTATACTACTTCAACGGGTCTTCTGCAAAATTTTTTAGTTAAGATGCTCACTCTTATATTCATTGTTGTGTTACAGCCTCAGAGACCTCTGGATGGAGACTTGACCTACAGACTTTTTGACTTGAGAACCGCCTTCCAATACGGATTAAGTTCTCAAGTCAAGACCCCACTATATTCATTGTTGTGTTATAGCCTCAGAGACCTCTGGGTGAATTCAGTTCAGTGGTGGCAGGACGAAGCTTCAGCCCCTTTCCACAGGAAACACCAGAAATTTTACCTTCCTCCCAGCCAGAGCCAAGGAGGAGGCCCCTCTCAAGAACTCCATCTGTCGGTAAGATAGCTCAGGGAAGAGGAAAATAATAGGATGATATCCTCCAGGTAGTAATGGATTAAGAATCTTCACTGAAACCTTCTGCTATGCCTTTGCCTTCTTGTTATATGTGTAGATGACTAATTTATGTTCAGTTTGGATCTAGGCAATGATGAAGCCTGGGCTTGGGTAAACATGAAGTGGGAATACGTGAGAGCCAGTACCATGCTGCGGTTAACAATATTGGATTAGGGCTAAAGAGGTTCCAACCCATTGTCATAGAGTGCATCTTGGTCCAGTGACAATCTCTCATTCTAGCCTATTTTGCAGTGTTGTTGTGAGGAATGAGAGGGGAGATGGAACAACCATGTTTGCTCTCTTGATCTCTTGGGAACAGCACCAGTGCAAGCTCTCTGACAATTCAATATGGGAAGAGAAGTGCTGTGTGCCATTTCCATAACTTTCACTGGGAGGGGAAGGGGGGTCTTGGGAGCCAAAGGACTATGGGAAGGGCTTCTTAGGCATTCTTCAGTCTTGAAAGACCATGGTAACACACTCTGTATGAATGTCCTCTCGAGAGCATGAAGCCTGGGTAGAATAATATGGAGGATAGGCTGTTACCCAAGCAGCAAATCCCCCCTCTCCACATCGCTGAAAGAGTCCAATGTATGGCAAGAGCCAATACAACTGGTTCCAGTGATGTCGCAGGAGTTGCCAGAACGACACGAACTGCCTTCGGGACTCTGGCTCCGGATTTTGCCTCGAGGTTAACTCCTGAAGCCTTTTCCATGAGTGGATATAGCCACAAAGCAGTGGATGTTTGAAATTGGAGTTTTCCTTCTCCTAGATGGGCTGCCTTCCAAGGCTGACGGGCCCCACCTACCCAGTCCAGGTGGATCGAGAACTCTCCACCATGACCTGTCCATCTTGGGTGTCCCTGCCTGGCATAGCCCATAGCTTCTCTGAATTACTCAAGCCCCTTCGCCACAACAAGGCAGCAATCCATGAAGGGGAAGAGCTGGCAAAATAATAACAATCACTCATGTGCTTTGTACTTGTTTGCCTGTTCGCAGACACCTTTTTATTCCTCACAAAAAATGTTGTGGCCTCGAGGACCTTCGGGCAAAGGCATTATTTTCATAGGAGGAGTCAAAGAGCATCTGGAATATGCAGTCAGGGACTATCAGTGGAGAGAAAAAACTGTGCATGCCACATCTTGACTCACTATGAGAGCCACAACACTTCTGTCATTTCCAGAGTAAATGTAATGTTATTGAATATGGCTACCTCCTTGGAAACAAATAAATATGGTAATTGATTCTTTCCCAGGGGCTCTCCTAACAAAACAAAGGCAAGCTTTGGTTCAGATACTGTAACAGAATTTTCCTTTCCTATCTGACCACCCCTCTGTTCTGGCCCCTAAGGGTCTCCAAATACTCCAGAGCAGATTTGAGACACACACAAGGGGATACACGGGATCTGGGGAATCCATTTTACCAGCAACATCTGTTGGAGTTATTTCAGTTTCAAATACTGCCTTCAATAGGTTTGTTATTTCAGTTTCAAATACTGCCTTCAATAAGTTTGACTGGAGGGAGCTTTCTGGGCTGTCAACTGTAACCAATTGTTCCTTCCCTGCTTCTAATTTCAAAGAGAACAACACCTCCCTGCTTAAATGTCTCTTCCCATCCTTTTTAGTCTGTTAGCAGTTAGTGCAGTTAGAGTGATGTTAGGATGTAGTCTGCAGGAGTCTATTGGAAGCAGGCTGGGAGTCTGTTGAGGCTTACCGCTTACTGTAAGCAGTCATTTCTGTACAGTATGCTGTTTGTTCTGATCTCTTCAACTATGAGTAAATGAAACTTTTAAATTGTTTCTCTTACCAGTGTCTCAGAGTGAGTTATTGAGGTTGTACGTGCCAGTTGATGAGACAACAAGAGGTGGTCTACTCTGGGGAGACATGAAAGTAATTCTGCTCTGTAAATCCCCTGCACTTTTGCTTCACATCTAGAGGTTATTTTATCCAGAAAATCCAAAACTCTGAAACAACATCCTTGCTGTTGAACAGCATTAGATAAAATCCACAGATAGAATATTGAAAGCCAGAAGTAGCATTTGTATTATTTAGAGGAAAAAATGCACATCGTTTTTTCTCACTTTGTAATAGAGCTGGAGTTCATCAACAGTGCAACGTCCTGGCTTTGAAATGCTGCCTCTTTTCATATCATGCAGGTTCCCTCTCTATTGGCCAGCGTTCTCGTTCCAGCTCCTTTGGAGAGAAGACAACAGGAGGGAGAGCAGAAACAGGAAGTAAAGAGGGGAGTAGGAACAGTGGGCTGAAAGTTCAAGCAATTGTACCCCATGTGGCGGGCTCCAACCCAACACTATTGCAGTTGAACCCTGGAGACGTAGTCTCTGTGCTTGTACCAGAAGCACAAAATGGCTGGTTATATGGCAAGCTGGAAGGTACATCCATGTAAGTCTGCTCAAATGTCTATTAATATAACTTGGTTTGATTAAGAGGGTGCTCAGCTTAAAGGGATTCGGGTCTTTTGGTGAGATTTGTATTTTCCCTTTGCATTCATTCTGACCAAGGAGACTCTTCTCTCACTAAGGGCTTATCTAAAAGATAAGTCAAAATCATGCTAATTGTGCACTTGAGTTCTTAGAGCAAACTTTGCCAGTCTGGTGTCCTTAGATGTCGCCTGTGAGTAGTCGTTGAGGATGGAGAGAGTTGCAATCCAACAGATTTTGAGGGTGCCAGGCTTATGGAAGCTAGATCTGAGGACAGATCTGGAAATCGCAGCTAGGGAGAAAGAGTTAGTAGCAATTCACCCTTGTGGTGCTTCACTTTTGGTGCACAGGGGCATTTTTCTTTGTAGGTATCTATAAATATGTTTTGCTTACAACCATCTAATTTCAGAATTCTGGATGTGCCAGCAGAGAGTGGAAAATGGAATTGCTACCATTGGCTCTTAGTGATTCCTCTTGCACAGGAGGTGGAGCAAGACAAGGACCCACCATGGACTAAATCAATCCCGTGGTCCAGAAATGTTCCACTTGTGCTAAATCTATGTCTAGGATCAAAAGAAATTATATGTTTAGCATGTGTTCAGAAGAATTGCTCCCTTATATGGTGAAAGATCTCTACTTGTCATAGCACATAACTGTCCTCAACTGTACATATTATATTTAGTGTACCATACTTTGTTTCGTGGGTGTTCGTTGGAAGATGGACGTGGGCTTAATTAGCAAGTCTGATGGCTGAAATATGTATCTTTGGAAAAAATTGTGAAGGTGAAAACATGAATTTCAGGATATATTTACTTCTTTTTATATATAATTTGACACACACTCAGTAATTTGTCCAGCTCTCCAAAACTAAACAACTCCATCTGGAGTGGTGAGGGGAACCTTCCAAAAACTGAACACTGCCAGGTTGGATAACGTATGGGTAAAAGTTTTCAGCAAACCAAGTGAAAAAGGCATATAAGCTACCCTGATTTTATTTAGACCAGTTCCAGCTTTTGAAACGAATGCTGATTCTCAGCCCATTTCTCCTATTTTGATTCCTCTTTGGTTGCCTGTTTCTGTGCCCTGTCTTGGACTATTACAGTAGCTGGTTTTGGCAAAAGCTATCCTTTGAATTGCTGTGGTTCTTACCTTTTCCAAGCCAATGCCTTCCATCGGAGCTGGGCTGCATCTCTCATAATCTGTCATCAAGCTGTCTGGGTTGAGAAAAGGAAAATTTCCAAACTCAAAAGTTTGGTGGAACTAGTGCTAAGCAAGGGGCTTTGTCAGAGTTCCACCAAGTTCATACTGAAAAGGTATATGAAGGGAAGCTGTGGTCCCAGAGGAAAACAGATCATATTTTGGACTGCTCCCAATGATCACACAACACACTGAGAATTGCAATCCACCTCAACCCAAAAAGCTAGACCTTTTTGATTGAACCATCGGGTTCCTACTTTTGAGGACTGAGCTGGGGTGAGATGGGAAGGTCATTTTTCCCTGCCAAGTGACCCTTTCCTGCCATCTGATTGCACCCTCACTCTCATCAGTGTAGTCGTGCTCTTACCTTGGGTGAAAATGGCTTCTTGCCAATGGGTTCTCTCATTTATTTGCCATCAGTGGCCTTTTATTTTATAGAAGAGACTCTTAATATTTGAAGCAGATGACCATCAGATTTGTAGGGTAGGGCACCCAAGCAAAGGTGTAGGTATCTGGTCTTCTCCCCCATATTTGGAATTCCTGAATACCCCACATGAAGGGTCTGAACGATGACAGATCTAAGAACCAAACCTATTTTGGTTTTAGGAGTGGCTGGTTTCCAGAAGCTTTCGTGAAGCCATTGGAGGAAATGAGAGACCCCGAGGAGACGCCCTCCAGGTACCATCACCCTAGGTTGCACTGAGGGCAAAGACCATGCATATTTTTGCTTTGTTTTTTTCTTCTGATGCCTTCTTCAGTACAAGGCTGGCCCATTTCTGGGGCTGCCGGCTGCAGGACTTCTCCCAAGCAATTTCTAAGAAGCAGCCAGCTTGCCATTTGTCCTCAGCACTGCACGGAGGAAATGGGTGGCGTAAGCGAGGTATGCAGTGGGTGAAAGGAAGGGGAAAGAGGTGCAAGAAGGATGCAGAGTTTGGAACAGCAATCCAACACACACACGCACACACACACGCACAAACACGCGTGAGCATGCATTGTTACTTGTTTCTGTTTTCAGAGTAATGTCAGTTGAGGCATTAGTAACGTGTCACCAATGAATTACTGATTTATTTGTTTGCAAAAAATAGAGCTTTAAAAACAACATCACATCCCCCAAATTACTCCCTGCACTTTCTGAAATAAATGTTGCTCATTATGCCAAACAACAATGGTGTTGTTGATTGTGATGGCAATCATACCATTTTTGGGAAAATAACACTTTCGCATATCCGTTATCTCAAAAAGTAGCATCTATAAGGGAGCATTGTTAACTGCAAAGTGTTACTTCCAAGCTCTACAAGGAAGACAAGGAATGTGAATATTCTCTTGTACTGAGAAACAGACTGTTACCTATGGAACAGGAAGCATATCTGAGCCCAGCCTTATGATATGTTCTTAGATATTGAAGGCCAACCTCAGTCAAATGTCAGGATGCAGTGAATGACACTTAGCTGCCATAACACGGTTTCCCAATCTGATATCCTCTAGATTGGCTGGACTACAGTACCTATTGTCAGCAAGAAGCACGGTCAGTCTGCCTGTGGAAAATAGGTATTATACTGTAATGCATCTGGAGGAAACTAGCTAGATTGGCTGGACTACAGTACCTATTGTCAGAAGCATAGGTCAGTCGGCCTGTGGAAAACAGGTATTATATGTAATGCATCTGGAGGAAACTAGCTTGGGGAAAGCTAACTTATTAGAGTGTAACTAATACTTGAAGATTGATTTAGATACACATTTTCAAGGATGAACCTATGATTGGTTCACGGTAGAAGGTTTAGAGAGAATGGCAATACATGTATTTATATATATTCATCTCTCCTTCCATCATTTCTTGTCATCCTTTCCTTTCTTTATTGTTAGAACTTTCCCTCTGCGAGGCAGTCAGAGTGCTGATGACCTCCTGGACCGACCCAGCACCCCATCTGTTGCTGACTATTGGCAACATCCCAGCAGGCCTCAGTCACCAAGTCCTTCTCCGGCTCTGCTGGGGACAGGAAGCCGTCTGAGCAATACAGCTAATGCTGCAACCACCACAGACTCCAAGGTAAGTGTCTGCAATGACGCTGTAGATATTCAGGACACTGCTGAGGATGTGCATTTCCCCGCAAGGATAAGAACTCTAGGTTGAGTGATGGCCCACAGAGCACTTTGTGGCAGTTCTTGATATAGGGCTGACCTTAGTTGAATTCCTGCATTAACTAGGTGATAATGTTGCTAGCCAACTGCTGCCTTGCACCACAGCTGTACTATCTGCAAGGGCCATTTGTGGTCATCCAGATCATATGGTTACCGCTTTTATTGGAATACCACAACTATGGAAAGGAAATACATGATCCAAATAATTATTAGCTGTTGCTTAGGAAACATGTGTACTTTTTTTTTACAGCATACCATCAAGACATCTATTCTTATAGACTGAAAAGCCCCCTTCTCCTTTTCCTCCAGCAGACACCAGAGCTCCATATTTCTAATTAGCTTGTTGTCCTGATGTGGAGTATAATGGATACTACAAGCGTCTTCTCTCACACCTTGGTGAGGCCGGCTACCTAGTCCTGGCTGTCATGTGGCAGAATGTTTACTGCCACAGACCTATCCTTTGCCTTAGGCACTGTGTAGATAGAGTTCTTTCTGGCAGACAATATCAGCACTTGTGTTTCTATGCCTGCAAGTCAGGCCTCTAGAGATGTGTTGCTGAGGTTGTGTGGCTGGGGGTTATACATGAAGCCCAATTAAATGAAAGAGATCCGAGACAGGAAAGAAAAAGAGGTCCTAAAATAGACACAATCTCTTTATCATAGCAACAGTACCATTAGAAGCTCACTGCAATGATCAGAGCCACAGTAGACATGATTTTTATCTTGTTGAATGCTGTTTACAAGCATAGTTTGTGAAATCAGCAGCTGCAGAAACTCTCAGGCAGCAGCAAGATTGCAAACGTTGGGCAGATAGGCTTTGACATTCCAGTTCTGCCATGATCCTCATGATGACACTTTCTCAAGGCTGCTGTTTGCACTGGGCTGGACAGTTCTCTTAGTGCCAGAGGAAGACTCCATTCCTTTCCCATGCACAAAATGGGATTTGCACCATTCACATCCTACTTAATGTAACTGTGAGTGGGTGAGGAAATTCCTTCCAATTCTTTGTGAAGATTCTTCTGCCTCTGATAGACTTCCTAGATTAACAAAGCCTCTTTGTACTTCTTCTTTTCCTCTTTTAGAATCAGCTTGTAGTGAATTCTTTCAGTGCGTATAAGCCACTTGGCCATGTAGAGGGCATGCTAGAAACTGGAAACATATTACTGTTCCAGGAACAGGATTCCATCCAGATGTAGGATCAAAAGAAATTATATGCTTGGCATGTATTTAGAAGAGTTGCTCTCTTTGTGTCTGAGCAATCAGACTTGCAAAGGAACCCCATGTTTACTACCCGGTGAACAATCACAAAACAAAGCAAGCTAATTTACAAATCATGGGAATCATTAAAAGCTTCTTCTGTGATAAGCAGACATCTTAAAAGTATTCCTGCTTCAAACAACAAACTCTCGCCATCTCTTGGGTGCAATCAAATGCAAAAAATGCACATCTGATCGCATGTAGAAAGGCTTGCTTTGCTAAGACTGATCTCCCTTAAAGTGACTCTTCTGGCTGTTGAGGAATCGCTCCTGCCCAACCTCAGAAAGCAGTCGTACTGCTGGACCAAAAAGGTGCAGCTTGGTCATGGGTCAGGGTCAGGTTAGAGTGCTATTTCCCATATGTCATGTGACCACCAGGAAATCTCTCACCCCAAAATGGGCCACAGGTGATTCAAAATGTGAGCTATATGGCTCTGTGATCAAAACCTCAGTTTGACCCTCAGTCTCAAAGAATAAAGCACAGTTTTTGGCCTTCTCCGGGCTCCTCCTTCTTCCTCAACTTTGCAAGAAATTCTCAGTCCCTTCTCTTTTACTTCCCAGGGTCCCTTCAGTTCACTTCTCTTCTCCATGACCTCCCAGCCTGATTTCTGGTGGCTCCGGGGCAGCTCCTCTTTCTGCTAACAGTAGGACACTGAGTGTTGGGTATGGATTTGGGCAGGGCCTGGCCAGCTGGTGGTGGAAACGGGCTCTCCATCTTCCCTTGCTGAGCTGAGTTCAGAAAAGCTATAGTTTTTGACTAGAATTGCCAGGGTCTCCAGACAGTACCATGCTGTTTGGGGAATTTTGGGAGTTGTAGTGCAAAATAGTAACTTTTATCCAGCTTTGCTTTGGAATGTCTTTTCCAAAGGGCTTGGTAGATTAAGGCCTGAAAGCAGAAGACAGTGTTGTGGTCTGAGGAAAACTGAGGATTCCTAGCCTCCTAGAGTGGAAAATATAGGTTTTTTTTTTCCTGTTTGCTGTGGATTGAGCATTAGGCTATGTTCACACGAACAATTACTTCAGTTTAACAAATACACTTAAAGCCCTTTACATGGTTTGACTGTTCTGATACTCCTTTGCTAGAGAAGCTGGCATGAGTTTTAAAAAGGATTAATGACTCTGCCATGGTTACTTTTCCTCTACCAAGTACTCAGGGCCAAATGAGATGGCAGTCTTCCCAACCAGGAGTGTAACTGAATATGAAGTCCTTCAATATAATGTATGATGCTTTATTTTCTTGTTCAGAAAATATGTGTGAACAGTGCAGAGTTAGTCAATGACCACTTAACTAAAAGGGAAAAAAGTGCAGCATGTTTCTATCATCACAAGTTATTGCGAAAATCCAATTTGAGAAATAGGTCATTTATGCATTTGTTTCATTTCATCATAAGCCAACTTTTGAGCAAATGCTGGCTGTCAAAATATCTCACAGCAGTCACAATGGAAGGCAAAATGATGATATGACCAGGGAGGCTCAACTAGAATTATATCAGCTTTTTGCTAAAAATGTCATAATGATGGAGAGTTTCTGTTCAATATTTATGTGCACACAGAATCTGCTGCAGCCATCTGGTGAGGTGCTGGTTTCATACAGTTGGGCACATGACTGGCGTTTCGTTAGGTTGCCATAGTAGCTTGCACAGTTTGAATTCCATGCGTATAAATATTGAACAAGATAACAAGATAATAATATAGATACAGTAATATCTATTCTTGTGATAGATCTATAGGATAGTGGTAGAGGCAGGTGCAAGGAGGTAATCCTGACATCGAGGTAGAGTTCATACCTGAAGGGCTGTATCTCCCCATATGCACCTTCTCGGGACTTAAGATTGTCAGAGGAGGCCCTCCTCTTTGACCCATTGGCAGCACAGACACAGTTGATGAGGAGACAAGGGAGGGCCTTCTCTGCGGCTGCTCCCAGGTTATGGAATGCTTTCCCTCAGGAGATAAGGTTGTTCCCCTCCTGCCCCTTTCATCCTTCCACCGATGGCTGAAGTCCCACCTTTTCAGGCAGGGTTTTAACAATCATGACTAAGCCCTAAATGTTGTTTTTGAGTTAAAATAGTTTTTAATGCTTTAGGTGTTTGTAATCATTCAAAGGTATTTTAATCAGTTTTATAGTTTAATGTTTAACTTATTCTAATGTATAACTTACTGTAATGTGTTTTAAATTCTGTACTTTTTAATACTGTGAGCTGCCTTGGGTCCCCTTATTGGGAGAAAGGTGACATCATCATCATCATAAATCCTGTGTGCAGTGGCCAAGGTCCCAGGATTAAATGTGAGCACATCCACATAAAGCAACATAGGTTATGATCTTAAAGAAAACCATTGTTAAGCAGAGTCAACAACAATATTATATAGAAACAGGAAAGATCCAAATCAATGAAATGTACAGTATATCAGGCAATAAGTATTAGAAACATACATAAATTGAGGTTCCATAAGGTGGGGAGAGACCAACGAAAACCAGCCCACCCTCAGGAATCGCTATTACCAAAGGGCCTAGTGCTGTTCGTTTATATTCGTGTGAACACAGCCTTGGTTGTGGTGGGTGTTATTGAAGTGTGTGGAAACATTACCAGCAATTGAAGTTACTTTTAAACTCAAATCCTCCCTTCTGTGGAAAGCCTGGATTTTGTCCTCTCATGAAAACTTTCCCTGTGCCTGATGCAGGTGCTGGGAGGTGATCCTGGCATGACTGTGTTTCGAGAGAAGTTGTTTCCCATTACGGGCACCAGCTTTAGAAGTAGGAAATGCTGTATGATAAAACAAGATGGGAAGGGGAGGGGGAACCTAGCTAACAAAGGTATTTTCTGCACATAGAGGATATAAAGCAGGACAACCTCCAGGAGTTCGAGGGTTACTTCTAGGTGCTATTCAATGACTCCCAAATTTTGCTGGTGGCCACCAGTTTTGCTTCCACCACTACAGTTGGTTCTAAAATGAGGTGGTAACTTTGGCATTCTTTTGTGGCCCAAGAATGCCATCCTGGACCATCATGCCTGCTACTGTGCAGAGCAAAGTCACTGCGTCTCTTAGAGAAGGGAGGGGGAAGAAGGAGGGTTTATTTTGTTTTTTCCCCCTGACAACTGATTTTTGATAGCAACAGCACTACTGGTTTCAGCAGTACAGCTTCAGCAATTGTACCGGAGGGTAAAAGTAAACACAAAATCAGTCAAATTTACAAGCTCTTGCAACATGTGTATTGCTTACACCTGCTATGAGGGGGCAACACATTCCATGTATCTCAGCAAACAGGATGTACCAGATGCTTCTTCCTTTTCTCCTGTCGGGGTCTCTTTTCCAGTCCGCAAATCTATAGAAGCCTAGCCACAGTAACCTTGAAAAGCAGCCTGAAAGAGTATTTATTGTGTAGTCAAGTGTTTGACTCCATCTTCCTTCACCACACTGAGGAAGGGCCTACAGAATAGACAAGGAAAAGAGGAAAAAGTTTAGAAGAACATTAGATTCGCGAAGGCTTTCATGGCCGGGATCTAATGGTTGTTCTGGATTTTTCGGGCTCTTTGGCCGTGTTCTGAAGGTTGTTCTTCCTGACATTTTGCCAGACTCTGTGGCCGGCATCTTCAGAGGACAGCAACCTGTCAGGAAGAACAACCTTCAGAACACGGCCAAAGAGCCCGAAAAACCCAGAACAAGCATTAGAAGAACATTATTAGGTGCCAGTGGTTCTGGCAAGGGTTGGGGGGAATGCTTCACCTCCATCTTCCCAAAGTAGTTTTGTGACATGCCACCTGCACCAAATAACACACAGAGGCTAGACTTAATGGGTTTGTATAGTATAAACCCAGAATTGTGTAACTCAGTGGTTCTTAACCTTGGGTTACTCAAGTGCTTTTGGACTGCAACTCCCAGAATCCTTCAGCACCAGCTGTGCTGGCTGGGGTTTCTGGAAGTTGCAGTTCAAAAACACCTGAGTAACCCAAGGTTAAGAACCACTGGTGTAAATGATATGCACAATCATTCTGGCAGGCTGTTACACACTCCGACATACCTAGGTCACACACTCAGTTGCACATCTGGGTGACACACAGGCAGAAAATTGTGAAAAACCACTTGTATAATTTCCCTTCAATCTGCAGGATTTGGCAACAGGATTTTGGCCAGAGAAATTTAGTAAGAAATGCCAGTGCTGAAGAGGGATAAATTATGAAGGAAGCTGCAACAAAGTGACTTAAGGTTGCTTTAGTTTAGTGCACAATCTTTTACATGCTAAAATCTGTGTTCGGTGGGGCTTGCTCTCAGGAATTAATACAGAGGAATTCTTTCAGCACTAACGTGAAAGCCCCCATTCTCATTTATTGCTTGGGCAGCTTTTTGAATTAAAACACATACATTAAAACACAACCTGTTCCAAGGGAGTTAAAAACAAGGTCTTCTCCATGCTTAAGAAAAGAAACTGGACTTTCTGCATTCTATTCATGTTTTTCTAAAGCTATCTGGGTACTTATGTTTTGTTTAAGTCAAAATACTGTACAAGGAGGTGTGTTATGGTGGTGTCTGTTCACTTTATAGCCAGAAATTATAGTTGGGTGAGAGATCTCAATGTGTCAATCCCATAATATACACATTGGACTCAACTGGCTTCTGTAATGATGAGGGCAGGAACATAAGATGGTTCAGATTCCTTGGACTGGCTATGTTATTGGTTTTGCCTCTGGCCTGCTGAGAAAGCAATGCTGAAGATAACATCTATAGGTGTGTGTTTGGTGTGTCCCTTCTTTTCTCAGTCATCTCTCCTGAAAATACATAGGACATCTTCTTTCAACTATCCCAATATTCTTGCTTTATTGCAGAAGCCAGCAAACTGGGAGCATCCTCCAGAACTCTTTCCCAAGTAAGTTTTGGCTGTGGTATGAGAATGGGATCATCTTTATTATCTACATGTGTTAAGGCCCATTTTCCTAGAAGGTTTCTACTGTTTATTCATATGTCTGTGAAATAATGCCCCCACCTGAATGTGGCAGGATGCACAATCCAATTGTCTTTGCTGAGCCAAGCTGATTTTATGCAGCCCATTAACTAATTCAAAGGACCTCTTCAGAAGACCCTTGGGCTTCTTTTTCTCCCCCCCCCCCAAATAGTCCACTAAGAGAAGGTAAAAAGAGGGTGGCTTAGAGAGAGGGAACATTTTTCATCTGCTTTTAGCTGCCCATTAAGTGCTGGTTTCACCGCTGCCATTGTTGACATGTTGCTCCTGTCAGATTACCTCAGAAAGTTTGCAGCCCTCAGCATTAAAATTGTTGGCCTGCCTTGTATTACAAGCAGAGCCTGGAACATCAGTCACATTAGTGTTTGTTATTACTTCAGAAAATATATGCCATATGACCATTATAAATGTATTTTATTTACTTTATTATTTTATTATTTATTATTAATGAATTTATTATTTATTTATTTTATTAGTTTACTCTTGTCTAGAGTTTGTAATTTTACTGTTAAGCACTGGGAACTTTTTTTGTTGTTACTGTATTTGAGAAAATGATCAGTTGTTGTTACCCATGATGGTGTAAATGATTGTTTGTTGCATAACTAGTTATTTTTCCTTTACTTTTGTTCTTTTCTGTAAATCTAATCCCTAAGGACTGTAAAAACACTTCTAAAAACATATGGAAATGTCATTTAAAAGTAATGCTGTAAAACAGCTAGAAAATAACTTGCTGAAGCTAATTGATGAGGTGTCAGGATGTGTCACAGTTGTGTGCCTGCTCATATGTTTGATTGCATAACCAAGATGCATCAAAACACCTCACCAATTAGCAGCAACAAATTATGCAAGCCTTACATGAACACGAACACAAAACTCATTATTACAGTGGAAAAAGTTCATTCATTGTATTATCTTTAAAATATAAGTACAGTATATCATAGAAGTGACTACACCCCCTCATATTTCATAAATATTTTAGTATAGCTTTTCATGTGACAACACTGAAGAAATGACACTTGGCTGCAATGTAAAGCAGTGAGTATACAGCTTGTATGTGTAAATGTGCTGTCCCCTGAAAATAACGCAACACACAGCCATTAATGTCTAAACCGCTGGCATCAAAAGTGAGTAGACCCCTAAGTGACAATGTCTAAATTGGGCCCAAGCAGCCATTTTCCCTCCTTGGTGCCATGAGACCTATTAGTGTCACAAGGTTCAGGTGTGAAGAGGGAGCAGGTGTTATCACTCTCACTCTCTCAGACTGGTCATTGGAAGATCCACATGGCACTTCATGGTAATGAACTATCTGATAATCTGAAAAAAATGAATTGTTGCTCTACATAAAGATGGCCTAGGCTAGAAGATTGCCAAAACCCTGAAACTGAGCTGCAGCACAGTGGCCAAGACCATACAGCAGTTTAACAGGGCAGGTTCCACTCAGAACAGGCCTGGCCATGGTTGACTAAAGACGTTGAGTCCCCATGCTCAGCATCATAGCCAGAAGTTGGTTTTGGGAAATAGACATATAAGTGCTGCCAGCATTGCTGCAGAGGTTGAAGGGGTCGGGGGGGGGTGTCAGCCTGTCAGTGCTCAGACCATACGCCGCACACTGCATCAAATTGGTCTCCAGGGCTGTCGTCCCAGGAAACCTCTTCTAAAGATGATGCACAAGGAAGCCCACATACCGTTTACTGCAGACAACCAGACTAAGGACATGGATTTCTGGAAGCATATTTATGAAATGTGAGGGGGTGTACTCACTTCTGCGATATACTGTATAACTTACAATGTGCGACTTCCAAGTTCTATTCTTGTGCCATCCATAATGAACAGTTTCTTGTGTGCAAGCAGTTTTTATGTTGTCACGCAGCTCACTTAATAGTGTTTCCATAGATTTAATCTCATTCTTTTATTTTGTTTCTCCTAGAGGAACCAACCCTTTTGCTACTGTCAAACTGCGGCCCACAGTGACCAACGACCGATCAGCACCCATCATCAAATGAAAGCTATTAATAGATTTGAGTGGGTGACTGCCTGGCAGATAAAACTGTACAGAATGATCCTTTTAGTTCTTGAGCACATCATGTTGGCATTATTTTGAAAATGGTTACTCTTCTTGGGCAGCTCTTGAGCCTGCTGTGGTGTAGATAATTTAATCTAGATCCCTAGGATATGTTCTTAAGTTCTTTTTTGACAGGGACACCTCCAGATGTTGTTGAGATACTATTTCCATCCTCCCAGCACATAACATTTACCAAGCTAGCAAGATTGATGTGAACTGTTGACCAACCTCTTTACATATGATCATTGATGGCAGTGCATAATTGTGCATTTGTTTGGAATGCACAGTCTGTGATGCATTTTGGCTACATAGAGCTCTTGTTATTCATAAGATCATACTTTTGAGTAGCCAAAGGGTAATATTTTGTCTCTGGGAAGATGCAATACATCTCCTAACTCACAGGAGTGTCATGGCACCTATTGGATATATCCTAGGATTTTTCAGGGACAAAAACATGTTACATGATGATCTGTGATCATAGTTTTGGACACACAAATTTTAACTCATGTGTAGCCAGAAGGGGAAAAAGACTGAAGATGATGATCAATGACACATTCAACCAAAAAGGTTTCTCTAAGTTTTGTTTTCCTGATCTCAGCTGCCCCCTTTGAACTTGATGTTAAACCTTCTGTGGAAAAACATACATTTTAGTTTACAGAAACATTTTTCTTTTGGTTCAAACCAACAGTAACCTTGGAAGAGGGAGGGTTTAGAGTGAGAATATGGCAGTAGGGAGGGTTTAAGATGGGTCAGGGAATTTGTGGCCCTCTTACTTATGTTGAAATACGATTCCAACCAGTCCAAATCAGCATAGCCAGTGGGGAACAATGATGGGAGTTGTAGTCAAGGACCACCTAGAGGACCATACATCACCAACCCATAGATTAAGCATTTCTTCCAAATGTGGCACTGCTCCAGCCACATTTAGAACTTTTGGAAGTTAATTTTAAAACATCAGGAGATCCCCTCACAGATCTCCTGCATGATGTGCCATTTGGCGTTAAATGGAGAGCTGGCTTCTGCAAATAGCACTAATGAATCCATTGTTTGTTTGTTTGTTTATTTTAAATAAAATTTAAAATTGCATCCCTCCTGGTAACTGAGTTCATATTTCATTTGTGCCTTGTGAGAATGGGGATAGAAAACAAAGATGTCAGATCTCTGCATGAGGATGTATCTTAGAATGGATAACTTCCAAGGGCCAAGGGTAGTGGTTCTCAGTCTTAGGTCCCCAGATATTTTTGGACTAAAACTCCTGGAAGCCTTCACCACTAGCTGTGCTGGCTAGAACGTCTGGGAGTTGTAGTCCAAGAACTTCTAGGCACCCAACAAGCAGTCTAGGGAGAAGTAGATTTTCTGGTACTGATGCCACAATAATGTAGCTCACATTGTGGTGCTATGAACCTTGATTTGGGATGATGATTCCATTTACTGCTTTCCCTCTTGCAGCAAAATGGCTTGAGCTAGCTCTGAAGCTCATTAGAGCAGCAACACACCCTTTAGCCACTGTGATGGTGAGGCTACATTTCACATTGCAGCAGCTCTTCCTGCAGATATCCTTGGCCACACAGCAGTGTCTCCAGAGTCTGAACAGTTAATTTTTAAAGGTAGCTTATCCCCCATCACCCATTTCTTACAGTAGTAGAATCATACTTCATTGCTGTTAATCATCATGATATTTAAAAAGTAAGGGGAAAACAAAATAAAAAAATTAACAAATAAAAGTTCAAAATTCTTCTGAAACCTAGAATAGCCTTAAAACGCCACAAGAAAATTGCCTGTAATAGCAGAAAGCAAAGCTGTCCCCACTTATTATATTATGTTGAAAAGTAACATCATTATGGCCTTACTGTCAATAGGATAGTGAGAGAATGATTTTGGGGTAGCTATGTTATAACTCACTATATCCACGTTCTGACTCTTTCCATGTTAAATGTATTTCTGGGAACTTTAAGGCCATATTGCACAGAATATTCTGAATGTGTCACCTATATCATGCAATCTATCTAAACCCATCCAATTCTCAAAAACATAAAAAATATTTGAATGTTCCACACACCCACACCACCACTGCCACAGATTTGAAATAGCTCCCTTGTTTATGCTTGTCCTTGACAAAATATGGGCCTTGAATTCAGCCCAGGAATGGGGGCCGCAAAAATTCAAGATATTTTAGTACAGTTGAACATGAACACATTTCCACAGTGGACATGACTTTACTTCTTTGCAGAACAGGTGTGCAGTCCAGGAGAGAATCTGATTCCCCAATGGCATTGGACTTGAAAAACTCACCATATAGTTAGCAAGAAGAACCAGATCTTAGGAAACCATTTCAACCGCATCAAACTGTAGTGATAATTCTGATCTGAGGTCTGTTTTATTACAAAAAAAGTAGTATATCTCTTTCAAAAGAGAGAAGAAGGATGATGTACCTTCTTACTGCAACTATAGAGGTGACTTTGGATACTCTGTCTATTGACCACCAGGTGGCAGAACAATCTAGCAATGTTTTCACATTTCATCACTGTTCTTGCAGACAGATTATGGGTGCTATTTTCACTTCTTCAGAACTTCTCAAGTCCATAGGCATGCCTGGCTGGCTGGATCTTTCCCAAAGACTCACATCCTGTGACATTCACACAGAACACATTGTGGAAGATTGGGGAAAGAGTGTGTGAAGTATCACTCCCTGATCAAGGAAACAGGGACGCTTGTTCCCACGCACCATCAACTGTGGCCTGCCCTATAATTTGTGTGCCAGCTTTCAGACAGAGTGATAGGCCTGCCTCGAGCAGAAGATTTGAGTGTCATGAAAAGTAGCCGTTTGTTAGTTGTTTCATTTATCATGACTGTATTTTCACTGTCAGGCAGGGCTGACCCTGCTATTAGATAAGAGGAAGCGGTATGAAATTATTTTTATGTACTCTGACAGTTCAAAAGGACTGGTGATATTCTGACACCATTGATATTATCCTTATTCTTGCCATTGTCTTCAGCAAGCTATGGACTGTACCTATACATGGTGAGGAACCTTTAGGTATTTTGGGCTTCTATGATTTGCCTGAAACTTCTGGGGTGATAAGGATGTTAAAAATCAGTGATATCTGACCCATACATTGCAATAAGTATTTTAACTGATTGTTGAAATTTTCATGTGAATATTGACAATAACAGATATTGTAACTATTCAAAAAAAAATCATAATGTTGATAGGTGCTCAAATGACATTTGCCTGAAAACATAAACAGGATGCAGTCATGGAACAGTGGTCCCCAAATTTAGATTTCCAGATGTTATTGGCCTGCAGCTAGGTTGGCGGGAGCTGGGACAAGCAACGGGTGCTCACTCCGTGGCGTGGATTCGATCTTACAATCTTACGACTGCTTGGTCTTCTGATCCTGCAGCACAGGCTTCTGCGGTTTAGCCCACAGCGCCACTACGTCCCTTTTTCAGCAAGCTATGGACTGTACCTATACATGGTGAGGAACCTTTAGGTATTTTGGGCTTCTATGATTTGCCTGAAACTTCTGGGGTGATAAGGATGTTAAAAATCAGTGATATCTGACCCATACATTGCAATAAGTATTTTAACTGATTGTTGAAATTTTCATGTGAATATTGACAATAACAGATATTGTAACTATTCAAAAAAAAATCATAATGTTGATAGGTGCTCAAATGACATTTGCCTGAAAACATAAACAGGATGCAGTCATGGAACAGTGGTCCCCAAATTTAGATTTCCAGATGTTATTGGCCTGCAGCTGTGACCTTTGACCATGCTGGATAAGGCTTCTGATAGTCATTTTAAATATCTGAAGGACTTTCGCTTGGAAAGATGGGGAAAAATTTCTCTTCTGCTGCTCCAGAAGACAAGACCTGAACTGACTGAGTCAAATTACATGAAAGACAATTCCAACTAAACATTAGGAAGAACTTCTGGATAGGAAGAGCTCTCTGACAGTGTAGTGGACTGCTTTGGAATCTCTCCTTTGTTGGAGGTTTTTAAACAGAGGCTGGGTAGCCACCACAGCTGCGATACAAGGATATCTGCAAGCCGGATCTGAAGGCCTTAGGAATGGACCTCAACAGATGGGAAACTCTGACATCTGAGCGTTCAGCCTGGAGGCAGGCAGTGCAGCATCACCTCTCCCAATTTGAAGAGACCTTTGTCCAGCAGAGGACGTGGTGGCGCTGCGTGTTAAACTGCAGAAGCCTCTGTGCTGCAGGGTCAGAAGACCAAGCAGTCGTAAGATCGGAGTGAGCTCCCGTTGCTTTGTGCCAGCTCCTCGCCAACCTAGCAATTGTAAAGCATCCAAATGTGAGTAGATAAATAGGCACCGCCTCGGTACGAAGGTAAAATGGCATTCCCTAGTCACGCTGGCCACGTGACAATGGAAATTGTCTTCGGACAAGCGCTGGCTCTACGGCTTGAAAACGTGGTGGGCACCGCCCCCTAGAGTCGGACACGACTGGACTAAGAATGTCAAGGGGAACCTTTACCTTTACCTTTGTCCAGCAAGCAGAGGCAAAGAGGCAGTCCTGAAACCAGCAAAATCAGGGAGCTGAACAGGGGACAGACTGTATTTATCTTTGGTGTGGAAGGGATTGTCAAGCCTGATTTCTCATACACATATATCTGCTACAGGTAAATCTCTGGAAGCCTAATGTGATTTCAGCTAGAATGTCACCTAGCAAACATGAATGCTGAAGGAATTTCATGAGGATCCCTTTAGACTTTTTACCCATTATCAACTTAAAGGATTAAAAGTGACAAACTGATTGTATTTCCTCTCAAAGAACACATATAGTTAAATGCATTTTCATGAATACGAATGCAAAATTGAGATGCAGTTGTTTGTCTGAAAAAAGAACACCTTTCTACCTAAGTTGGCTTACATCATTAATAGCATTAAAATATTTAGAGCTTAAAACAGTAAGTATACAAATACTAAAAAGATCAAACAAATACCACACTAAAAAGATAAACAAAAGCAACACCAAAAACACATTCAGGCACAGCTATCTATTTAAAAGCCCTACTCAAGCAATCAGTCACTGAGAGAAAGCTTGCTTAAAGAGAGAGGTCTTTGCCTGCTTGAGAAAGGATGGCAAAGATGGGGCCAGTCTGGCCTCTTGTGGGAAGGAGTTCCAAAGTCTGGGAGCTGCAACAGAGAAGGCCCTCTTCCCATGTCCCCACCAAATGCACCTATGCAGGTGGTAAGCCTGAAAGACGGGGCTCTCCTTAACACCTGAGCAGGCTCATAAAAGGGACATGGGCCTTCAGTTTGCTTGGACCTAAGCTGTTTAGGTCTTTATAGGTTAGAACCACTACTTTGATTTGTGCCCAGAAATAGATTGGCAGCCAGTGGAGCTGCTGTAAGATGGGAGTTATGTGTTTCCTATGATCACAGGAAACCCCCCCCCCCCATTACAGCTGCAAAGAGCAAAGTTGTGATGTTCCCCAATGACACTCCCAGCCCATTGCCCTCTCCTAGATCTGCTTCAAACCCTTTCTTCGCTTGCAAGCTAGTTGAAAGTGATGAGAGTTGTAATTTAGTATATCTGGAGTTGGCAGTCTGGGCAATGGCTGCTATGTAGAAAAGGCATAGCTTTATCGATTTACCTGTGCCATTTACCTCCCTACTCCCTGGTAAACAGAGACAATGCTGGCATATACCATAGTTTTTCCATTGCCACCCTAACCGGCCCCCTTTCTTGTCCACCTGCACAGAGTTTAGTTTCTCCTTCAGTGGCGCCAGGTATGGCACCTGTCAATCACCTTTTAAACCAGGTTTAATGAAAACAACCCTCGCCTCAGTGGCGGGACTTGGGGCAGCGGGGGGGGCTTGTTTTCCCTCTCATGTAAATGCCTGCTTCTCAAGGCCTCATGCGGGCCTCCAAAACAAACACCCCATTGTTTCTCGAGCCTTCATGGGTAGGAAGAGAAGGGGGCAGGGAGAGACCTGCGGTGGCTCCTTTAGCCGATTAGCCTTATTAATAGAAATTAAACCCCATCTGCAAGCTCCGGGAGCCCTACACGCTCCCTTCCCTACCTGTGTTTTTCACCTCCTCCCCCCCCCAACCCTGACAGGAATGTATAGATAAGGGAGGGAAGGCGGTGGGAGGAAAGAGAGACGCTAAGAAGCTTACGAGGATTAGAAAGCAAGGCCTTTCACTTTGGGGTACTTGCGAGGGTAGGTATTAAAACCTACCTGGTCTCACTGGCAGTGCCAGAGGGCTGGTTTGGTGGCCTGACCTCACCCCACTGCCATAGGCGGCTCATGCACGGATCAGGGGAAGACCCCCAAACCTTTGGTGGAGGACCCCATTCCTTCAGTCACGGTCCTGACCCACTTCATTTCTTTCCAGTCCCTTTGTACCATTTGACTCCTTTGACCCTGTTTGTTTATTTACAGCTCTCATGTTTTCCTCATCTGTCCACCTAAAAGAAGGTCATTCAGCTGATCAGGTCTTCCCATATTACACCATTTCTTAAACCACTGGAGTCCTTGTCATGAAAAAGGAGGGAACTGTGTTTTGTTTCTGAAAGGCGAGCCTCTGTCGAAAGCATCCTAGGATGTTAGTACTGTATAACACCCCAGCTCTTCATTTTAAGCACAGCTCCTTGTGTACACAGTTCAATGACAATCAAGCACAGGAGCCTCACAGAGATTTTGTCTACAGATATTTATTGCTACTTAAGCTTCTTACTTCTTATCAGGATGTTTATGAAGTGATACTTTTGAAAGTCTATTGCAGGTGTTGGCTATCAATTTATTTCTTTTTTTGCATCCCATTTTTCTCTGCTTCCTATAACCTGAAGTGCAATGTGCATATATGACTGAGGCTGAATATTGTACTCCATTTATTAGAGGCCGTGGATTGCAATTCTTGGAAGGTCGTGCTGAGAGAAATCTATCTTCTTTCTTCTTTTGTTCATTAGAACTAAGCTGAAAATAAATATATTTGGAAAGCAAGAAACAGACACATCTCTTGAGTGGTTAGATGGAAACATAGCAACAGGAGTTATTTACAGTTCATTAATAGCAGCTTCATTTAAACTGCATTTGGATTAATTCAACAGTAGCAAGATGCATAATGTGTTTTGGTTGTTTTGAAGAACTTGCAGATTTAATGTATTGCTTTGCTTTTATTGCTTTAAGAACCGTACCAAGTAAACAGGGAATCACAGTAGGATATCCCCAGACAGTTTGGAAAAGCACAGAAACATTTCCAACACAGTACTGGTATGCTTAATCTAACCCTGACCATTCTGCCTCCTAGGAGCAACTTAAAACCTTAACAATTGCTTGCTGCTTCTGCAGGATCCCAAATCTGAGCTCTGCATGCTGTCCATCCTGACGTTTAACTACGTTCCCTTCTGCTGGGTCTACAGCTCCACAACAGTTCAGTGCCCTGATTTCATTTTTTAATATACCCCATAAGGTAGCTATTGTAAAAAGCATCGCCCCAAAAAAGGTTATAGAGAAATGCCAAAAGGAAAGAAGAAGGAAATTCAAAATCTCCTTTCAAGTCCTCTCCTACGTACCCCATTCTTTAGAGAAGCAGGATTATGGAGGGATTCTGGCCCAGACATGCATGGTCTGTCCCTTCCCATTGGCTAGGAAAGCCTCTTAAAAGTGGAGAAGTAGTTTCTTCTGTGAGATCAGTAACCTATGATTCTTTAGCGACTTTAAAACATAAAGAGCTGCTGACCCACATCCATACAGTAAACAACTTGGGACTTATCTTGGAGCTGCCTACTTTTGCCGTGTGGTGGTGATTGTGGTGGAGGGGACCTCTCGAAGCAGTCATAGAAGTACCAGGCTGTGAAGAACGCTGAAAGCCTCAGTGAAAAGGAGGCTTGTGCAGTCTGGGAAAAAGGAATACAAGTAGCATGAAGACTTTTGTAAGAAATCTTCTTTCAGTACCTGTCATGGAGTGATCCTTGAAAGGTCATCCCTTCTTCCTCAAGGTAAGGCCCAATACTGTGCAGATATCTTACTTTAAGTGTGTGTGTGTGTGGGGGGGGGAACAGAAAGGGAAGGGACATCCTATCCCATGTATGTATTCTGGTATGGAATATATTTAGATTTTAGATGCCAGTGTAAGAGGTGGCTCATGGACCAGGATCACAGAGTGTCTCATCCCCAGAATGTTTGAAGGGTGCTGTTCCTATCATGAACTCTCTGGCATAAGTATTGTTACATATTTCATCTTGGTGAGCTATGAAATAAGTCAGGGTAAATAGTATTTTAATCGAGATGAATATATTCACACTAACATATTAATCTGGCCAAGGTGTACCACTAAAAGCACCTGAGTTAATTCTTCTTGAATGCTTTAGTTTGTGTTTCTTGTGAATTTGTTTGCAGGGTTCTCTGCTTTTTTTTTAAAGCTTGGGGGGTGTGTGGAGATGTGCCGATGAGAGTCTCCTGATTTTGTAGCTCACACTTTATCTGGAGTTTCAGAACACAGTGCATTCCATGGTTTTATAGATTATATATTGAATTATTTAGTATGTGGTGAACTAGCTCTAAGGTAGAAGTGTGTGTATGTGTGTGTGTGTGTGTGTGTCTGTCTGTCTGTCTGTGTGCACGCCAACTAGCTATATTGATATATGACCCTTTGCATTAGATAGGGGGCAGTATATGTGTCATACTTCTCCTCATCATATCTCTACTTGCACTTTTCTAGTCTGAATTTTCCTCAGCATTCAAAACGTTTTGTACTTCTCAATCAACATTTCAGAAATTATATGCAACCCACCTATAAGCAGCTACTTTTAAAGATTAATCATACACTGAAAATACCCTTTGCTATTCCATTTTAACGTGTCACACACAGACTTCTAAACGTTATCGGTCTGGTAATCTGCCTCTAACTATTAAGTCCAAAATCTACTATTATCTCAGTGCACCACCATTGTTGGTTATCATCCAGCACTTCTACATGTAAGGATATTTGCCTGGCCAAACAGGTTTGTAACATCCATTGGTGTTGATTTCACAGGTGTTAGTGTGATTCAGTGGCCAAGTAGCAACTTGAGAAAAAAGCTTTCCTGGCACAGGGCCTTTGAAAAACATTTGAGATAAAAGGTAGGATAGCAACTCTCCATCCCACATACAGTCAGAAACCAGCTGGACCACCAGTTGAATCTTAATTCCATTCTGGACATGAGATAGCACCCTTTCTTGCATCTGAGGAGGCTGGTTTAGGAGGTAGGATAGGTTATATTACACACATAGTGCTCTGTTCTGGAAGAGAAAGACATGATTGAAATGCTCAGGAAGAAGAGTCAAGGGAATGCCAATGCTTTTCCATAACCCCCCCCCCATATCTGCTGCCTGATACAGTTGTCTCATTCTGCCTAATTGTAGGGCCAGCCCTTCAGAAACAGTTGTTGCTGTACAGACCTATGGATAATGCACCAAGGTAACTACAGTTGTCCATCGAGCCATTACTAAGGCTATGAAAGCCCCATAGGATAAAGCTGCATGGCTTCCTGTGGTTAATACTATAATAACTTTCCTGTTGCTAACGTGCTTAGTGTCACAAAGGTCACGACTGGCTCATGGTGGAAAGCAAGGAAAAGAAATCCTATGTTGACATTCCTGACCAGCTTAAGGGGTTGAGACTCTCTTACTACCCCTCACAATCCTGTCTGTGCCCATATCTTTGTACTCAGCCATTCCACTATCATGCAGACAAATAATCTGTCTGGCATGCACTTGCTTCCTTAAGAAAATCTCCTTGGTGTTTTGGAGTCGTGGCTGTGCAACCAGAAGAATGATCCATTATTATCAGCTTCGAAACAATATGTGGAGCTTCCACTAATGGTCCTAATCATGTTTTAGATGTAAATCATAATCACAGGACTGGTCACCTCAGCACCTTCCCACACTCCTTGTCACAATTTAAATACCAGCATACTTCTTGGTACATACAGAACCTTGCCTGAGTTTGGAAGTGAAGCAGATTTAAGGCTGGTTGCCACCTGGAAGAAGTACCAGGTAAACCCAAGACAGAAACTACAAACTCAAAAAAAAAAAAAAACCCACCCTGCAAGGAATTTGCAGTGACTCATTTCACTGCACATGATGCAAGCCACTGAGCTATTCAGCAGTTCTTAATAATAATCTTAGAATGGCACAGCTGGAAGGGCCCCTGTGGATCATTAAGTCCAGCCCATGTCAAGGAGGCACAGTGGGGAATCAAACTCCCAGTCTCTGGCTCCACAACCAGATGCCTAAAGCCTGACTCTGGTTTTAAAATGGCACCCAATCTGCACTTTTAAAAATCACAGTAGGGTTTGTGTCTGGTCCATACGGCTTTCTCAGATAAAAGATTTTGAGGAACTGTTACTAATATGCTGTTGCTAATAGGTCCCAAATGCTGGTGAAGGAGTATGGTTAGGCGTTGTGACCTGCTCTTGAAGGGTGCTTTGGATAGCCTGGGAGGGAATATCACAGGCTTTGGTTTCCCTTTGCCCTGGTCCCTCTTTCCATAGATGTTGATGTTAACTGAAGATCATTCTTTTCTGGATTAAAAGCAAGGGTGCAACAGAATTCTGCTCCACAGAGATCTTGTCCTTGGGGCTTCTGAGGCTCGATCCACTTGGCTGCTTTAATGTGTACTAATGTAAGGAATTGCATTAAAACAGGACATGTTTTGCAAGTGGGTTTGTGTCTGTTTGCAGCTTACCCACAGTAATTGCCTTTCTGGCAGAGTATTGGAAGTTGTATTTCCAGCCCAGGTAGATGGATAGAAAAGAGTCCTAACCAAAATTCTTAATTGCTGTTCAGATTTGCAGTAAAGAAGGACTTTGATTGTCTGACTTAGTCTGCAGCATCTTCTGACATCCTCCAGACTTCACCATTTAAGCAATAAAACAGAATATCTAGACAAAGAGGTACAGTAGATCAGGGTTTAAATCTCCACTTGGCTATAGAAAATCCCTTGGGGGGAATGGAACTGGTAAAACCATTTCTTAAATTTCTCACTCACCTTGAAAGCCCTATTAGAGTCATTATAAGATGGTTCTGACTTGACAGCACACAACTGACGAGAGTCCAGATATCCTACCCCGGAGCTGGAGAGACATGGTTCCTGTTCCTGCACACAGTCCAGGTAAAGTGTCAGTGCTAGAAACACCATTGCCAAGATCCTTACTTCTTGTGGTTTCCTTCAGAGAAGAGAAACCTTTTGCTACATTTGCAATGTAGATGCAGTTATGGGACCTATATATCTGTAAGCACATTGTAAGATGCAAAACCTGCACATATGTAGTGGGTTTTGTAAATAGTGCTGACTTTCAGCTGCAAGCTTGTAGGTGAAAGTTCTTTTAGGAGAGCACATTTTCACACAATGCTTAATCAGCTTACAACATTTACTGCCAAGGATATGATAACAGCTGCTGTCTAGAGAGCCATATGAGAAAAAGCGTATGCCTGTAATTCAGCTAGGGAATGCTCTCGTTGTGTCTTCTCCATATAAAATTCTAGAACAGAAGCATTTAGAATATTGAGTACAAGTTTGTTTGCCCTTTTCCTTTTCACAAATGACCTAGTAGGGTAGAGAAAATGATATGGGAGTTGGAACACTTTCCAGACAAACACAGAAATGGAATGTACCACCAGGCTTAGATGATGGAGTGAGGTGGCTGAGTACCTCTGACCCAGAAAGATGCCATTTCTCTACTCAGGTAGTCTGTCCAAAAATCTACCAGTTCTGAGGCTAGAATGAATTTAGGCCCTGCTGTATGGTGGTAAAGCTTACTCTTCAGCCACCATTGCACTAGCACAATCTTGGCCAGTGGATGTTTTCTTGGTGGCACCAGACTTTCTTTGTATGGCCAAAGAATGGACCACTGTGCATTACATTTGGGAGATAAAATTGCTTGGCGTGTATTGGATGCTGTAAAAATCAATTAGAAGTGGGTATAGCTATAACACCGATAATGGGCATTATGGATACTTTTCACTTTGTATACCTTGAGAATGTAGATAAGCTGACACTCACTATAACACCGATAATGGGCATTATGGATACCTTTCACTTTGTATAGCTTGAGAATGTAGATAAGCTGATGTGCTTGTTGGGTCCTTACTCTTCTGGATTATTAACATAGGGTTGCATTCTCAGTCTCAATAACAGAGTTGGTTGCCCTTATAAAGGTGGCAATTGGTTTTCTGTTCAAAAGTTTGAGCTTGGACAATGTAATTTAGAACAATTTGTATTGGGTAGTTAATATGAGTACTTCAGCAAATTATTAGAGAAAAGGATGTCTTCCCAATTCCAGAACTCTTGAATGACGTAGATTATGTTCATTTATTCAAACATGGTTTCCAGGTCAGAGAGAAATGATCTTGGTCATCTTGATGGATAACTTATGCTTGGAAATGAACATTCTTTGCTTGGGCCTCTCTACAGTTTTTGAATACTATTTTTGGGCTGAAATAGGGATACACAGTATTATGGTCGCTCTGATGGGTTTTTTTGTTTGTTTGTTTGTTTTTAATGGAGAGACAGACTCAGAAAGCAGTGCCAGTGGACTCTGATCTTACGATCTTGGATCTTTGAGATCTACCAAGGTTCCAGCTTGTTTCTCATTATGTTTAACAGCAATGCGGAATTGTTGGTAGTTGTATTCCTGATGTTTCTGCTGAAGTGTCATCATCTATATGTATATGTACCTATACATATACTGTATATCTCCGCCTCTCTTTTTCACTTGCTAGTCCCAGGGAAGTTGTGGAAACATTGAGGGAAGAGTTTAGGCCAAACAACCCAAAGTTTGCCTAGATAAATTAGAAGCATTATAGGTTGGGAAGTCTACTGTTTGGACAGCAGATTGTAATTCTGTTGAGGAACATGCTTGTGCCCTAATCAGTTGGGGAAAGTGGGCGAACATCCTGCATACCACAAAGGAGCATCTCCAGGGCTGCTAATCATATATCTCTAGCCAAGGGTAAACCAGCGAGTTCTCCCTCCTCTGCTTTTCCAAGGCCTGCCAACTATCAAAAGCAGTTTGGTTGATGGGTACTAAGCTTTCTCCCTAGCTGAGGAGTTACTCCATGCACGAGGCAAGCATATTAGCCTAATCCTTGGTTGTTTTTAGACAGTGAAATTGCTTTCATTTCATCTGGCTTTAAATTATCTTTAAATGGAACACTGACATTTTTTTCTTCTCTTGTTTTTTTTTCCACCAATACCTACATCTTTTTTAAAAAAAACATTGCTTATAATGTGTACATTGTTTACTGGCAACAAGCTTTCCTCTTTCCTCTTCCCTGAACTTGTTGTGAGTAATGGTGACTTATCCTTCACCTATAACCGTTAGCATGTTGAGTGCTGCTCTACGATTCCTGAGCAGTGTACAAAGTCTACATCTTAGGATGCTGCTTTCCTGTGCGCCCCCCCTCAATTTCCCTGATGATTTCAAGAGCTTCAGAACCATGAACCTACTTGGATGCCTCTCACATTACTTACCTAAAGGTAAAGGTAAAGGTTCCCCTTGACAATTTTTGTCCAGTCGTGTTCGACTCTAGGGGGTGGTGTTCATCCCCATTTCCAAGCCATAGAGCCAGCGTTTTGTCCGAAGACAATCTTCCGTGGTCACATGGCCAGTGTGACTTAGACGCAGAACGCTGTTACCTTCCCACCGAGGTGGTCCCTATTAATCTACTTGCATTTGCATGCTTTCGAACCGCTAGGTTGGCGGGAGCTAGGACAAGCGACGGGCGCTCACTCCGTCACGTGGATTCGATCTTACGACTGCTTGGTCTTCTGACCTTGCAGCACAGGCTTCTGCGGTTTAGCCCACAGCGCCACCACGTCCCTAAAAGGCATTACTTACCTACATCATCTTTAATATCTCTGAAACGGGCCCTACTTGTAGTCTCATTAATTGGAGTTGCTGAAGGAGTAGTTTCTCAAGGAATGGTAACCCAAGTGAGAGCCTTCCTTGGTTTTGTGCTGGTGTAGCAGAACCAGAGGTCAGTGGGACAAAGTCCAGGAATTTCCTGAAGAACAGGGTCTATTATACTATCTGCTGTCCCCAAGCCTCCTGTCCTCTCTGAGCTTAGCTTGCAGTTCTCATGTTAGCTGGGAGAGAAATGGGTTTTCCCCAGGAAGAATATATTGTTACAAATGCCCCCGTTGTCATGCAAAGTACTTGAGAATAGTTGGGCCTTGGGAACTGTTGTGATAAGTAATGGCACTTCCAAATGTGTCACTGCACTGCAATTGTGACATTCATCTCTTGAACCTCTTTGCTTTTGGAAGTGTGTCAAGCATCCTTAGTAAGCTGGTTTCACTGATTTCTTAAGACACACATCTTCATTCTAGACTTTGAGTCCTTTGGCATTGGTATAAGTCTTCTGTTCATTTAATAGTCTGTGATGTGTTCCATTTCATTGCTATTCTTTTAACAGCACCATTGTTTTTTTTAAATGTATATTAATTATTAGGATGGAGACATTTCCCAATTTTGGGATAAGCCCACCTGCTTGGTCCATGACTCCCCCCTTTTACTTTTAAACTGTTTTGTGTATTTTTTTAAAAAAAAACATGAAGAGTAGTATGTATATATATGTAATGGATGCCCAGTGTGGTGTAGTGGATAGAGTGAGAGACCAGGACTCAGGAGGCCTTGTCTTAATCCACACATCAATGAAAACTCACTGGGGGTGTGAAACTGGAAAATCTGCTCCTTAAATATCTCACTTACCTTACAAGCCCTATCAAGGTTTCTATAAATCAGTTCAGACTCGACGGCACATAACAACATAGATAAAATAAACAAGAAATAGATTAAGAATAAGCAACATACTACTGATGCCAGATTTCTACTTTTCCAAACTGATAAGTACTATTGATAGCTTTGCTTTTTTGCTTTCAGGTGCAGTTATTTCCCTTAAGGTGGGAGGGGGAGCATGAGAACAGAAAAGAGAGCACACAAACTTAAAGAAGGTGGTGGCTACTTGGCTGTATCTGTACAGTGTATTCTTCTCTCCCTGCAGACCCACCTTGCTGTCTCTGCTACACACAGGCCTGGCCTTCCTTCCTTCCTTCCTGGCAGGTGCTTTCCCCTAGTTAGACAATGGGGAGAGGTGATGCCCAGGATGGCCAGCTCCCTGAAAGAGTGAAGCCCCCAGATGGTGGCTGGGGCTGGATTGTGTTGCTGGGTTGTTTCATCATCACTGGCTTCTCCTATGCCTTTCCAAAGGCGGTGAGCATCTATTTCAAGGAGCTGATGCACGACTTCCACGTGGGCTACAGTGACACGGCATGGATCTCATCCATCATGCTCGCCATGCTGTATGGAACAGGTAAAGACTTGTCTACCCCATCAAGAACTTCCATCCAAGGCTTAAAAAATGTATACTGCCATGCTAAAAAGATTTCAGTGTTTTCTGAGGATAGCCTTCCACAGTTCTCTTCTGCTATTGCCACCGACAGTTCACTGCTACTCCTAATGCCACATGAACTTTAGGCAAGCTTTCTTTTCCCCATTTGCATTTCTTTAATTTAGGGATGGGGAACTTCCGGGTCAAATGTTATCTGCTAGTGTTTCCCATCAAGCCCCCAGACCTCAGAGCTAAGACGATTTAAAGCAAGTGGTTGCTTGACGCTGAACTCTGGCTTGCTGCCCAAGAAGCTATTGTAGGGTACAGAGCTTAGGGTTGCAGCCTGAAAAGCATCTACTCTCAACACTTGAGGTTGTGTGAGAAGAGCGAGAACTAATATAACAGACTTTCTTCTTGTACCATAGCAGTGGACTGTTGGCTAATATTCTGTGTGCTGCAGGTTGTAATACCAGTGACTGGGATGGAGGAGGAGAGCTCTGTATACCTATATGGTATATTTTTCCATTTCCAACATAAACATCTTAGGTCTAAGCAAACCCTATTGATTTAATGGGTTTATTCCAGTTGAGTTTACTAATTGGATTCAGGTTTCAGATGCCAGGTTCTTTTTTTTTTAAATCACTATCTATGCACTGTAATGGAGTCAAGTATCATTTTCCTAGTTTATCTGAAACAACCACTCACATAGCACCAGCCAACACAGCCATTAGCCTGTCTGGCTGGGGTGGTGGGTGGGGGATGCACAATGTAATCCCAGGAGAGTTTAGGGCACAGGTTTATCTATCCTCCAACCTTTCCTTCTCCGGTATAAGTGAAACACATCTAACATTTTTTAGGGCACAGGTTTATCTATCCTCCAACTTTACTTTTCTTCCTCCAGTATCAAGTGAAACACATCTAAAGTTTTCTCCATCCTCTGAAGATTCCAGCCACAGTGACTGGTGAAACATTAGGAAGAAAAAACCCCCAGAACATAGCCAAACAGCTAAAAAAACCTACAACAACCATTGGATCCCGGCCGTGAAAGCCTTTGAGAATACATTTTCTCCATGTCTTTAGCTCTTGACAGTATGCTGCAAATGCACCCGTATTGCTGAAAGAGAATGTTCCTCCTAAGTGAAAGCCTTTGAGAATACATTTTCTCCATATCTTTAGCTCTTGGCACCAAACATGAAACTGTATGCTCCAAATGCACCCATATTGCTGAAAGAGAATGTTCCTCCTAAAGGAAGCAGGACAACCCATGCCAGTGGAGAGCAAGAGGCATGTATTTAATGAGAAGGCTTAAGGCTCACTGCTAGAGCTCAGGTTTAGTCTTCATTCAGGACTCCTGAGCTAGTTGGAGAGCTCCAACAAGCCGGTGCAAACAATTTGGGTTAAATGCAACAAAGCCTTGGAAAGTTTCTGTTTGGACTATGACTCTCAGGAATCACCAACCACCATGGCAATGGAGGAGGGTATGACCCTTGAAAGGGTCAGGACAATGTGGTCCATAGTGCCATAGTGACTTGAACCATTTCCCCCTATGCATAATACTATAATTTTTGAAATACAACTAACTACAAGGGGTGCCAGAGATGTTTTCGACTATTCCTAATAATCCAACCAGTCTGAGCAGCTTTGTCATTTGGTATGAAGAAGGTATTTTGCTTCGTTCCTTTTATTTCACTCTGCCTCTTCCTCCCTATCTTGATTTCTTGCATTCTCTGCAGGTCCTGTGAGCAGTATTATGGTGAATCAGTTTGGGTGCCGGCCTGTGATGCTTGTTGGTGGGCTCTTGGCTTCCTCTGGCATGATTCTAGCATCCTTCACCACTAATATTATTGAACTCTACTTGACAGCTGGCATGCTGACAGGTCAGTATTTACAAAGTGGAAAAGAAAAGCTGGGAGTGTCAACTGCCTCGGGAGCGACAGATGGCATGTAGGAGGGTGGAAGAACATAATGTATGGAACATACCCAACTAACATGACACAAAATATATTTCAGCCTCTCTTGTGCTTGCTTTTGGTTTTGTTTTACATTTTCATTTTAAATTATGTGATTAAGCGGAGACCATTGTATGTTCCCACTGTTGGTGGGAGTATCCAGTCCCAGTGATGAGTAACTTTAACTACTAATTTGTAGAAATAATTGACCTGTTAAAAGCATAAATTGCATGAATAAGTTCTACAGTGAGTAGCACATCCCTTGATGCAATCTTAATGAAAGTGGAATATATTTTGGATTTGCTATTTTTCTCCTTAAATTGCCATCCTTTTGTCTCACCTGTTATTCACAGTTCCATTTTCATTCTCTAGGTTTGGGCATGGCTCTGAACTTTCAGCCATCTCTGATCATGTTAGGTGCCTATTTTGACAAGCGTAGACCTCTGGCTAATGGGCTTGCTGCAGCTGGGAGCCCAGTCTTCCTGTCAGCCCTCTCCCCATTAGGTCAAGTCTTGCTGGAGAAGTTTGGCTGGAGAGGGGGATTTCTTATCATGGGGGGGCTCCTACTCAACTGCTGTACATGTGGGGCAGTCATGAGACCCCTGGAGACCAGTAAGAAGACAAGAGAGAAAGCTCATGACAAATATGAAGCCAAAGAAATGCTGCCAATGGGAGGGCAGGCGGAAGAGGCCATCAGCACCACGGACAGTGCCAAGAAGTCAAAGAAAGCCAAGAAGAAAAAGAAACCCAAGAAAGGGAAGAAACTGTTAGATTTCTCTATCTTCAAAAACCGGAATTTCGTCATTTATGCCATTGCCAAGTTCATCATGGTTTTGGGTCTCTTTGTGCCCACCATATTGCTGGTCAACTATGCCAAAGACATAGGAGTGCCAGACACAGAAGCAGCTTTTCTGTTGTCCATCATTGGGTTCATAGATATTTTTGCCCGTCCATCCTGTGGTATCCTTGCTGGATTGAAGTGGGTCCGGCCTCATGTCACCTACTTGTTCAGCTTTGCTATGCTCTTCAATGGACTGACAGATATCTTCAGTGCCAGGGCTAATAATTACACATCCCTTGTCATGTTTTGTGTCTTCTTTGGCATCTCCTATGGGATGGTGGGGGCTCTACAATTTGAAGTGCTCATGGCCATCATTGGATCTCAGAAGTTCTCCAGTGCCATTGGGCTTGTCCTGCTAATTGAAGCTTTTGCTGTGCTTATTGGACCACCTTCTGCAGGTAAGTCTTGGATATTTGTTGTCCGAAAGCATCCCTCCCTCTTGTGCAGCATATTTGAGGTACAGTCCAAGCTCTTGTTTTCTATACCATATCTCATCCCTAAATATAAGAGTGATGAAGAACAGAGTACTTTTGAGAATGTGCAGAATGCACACACAGTATCACTGTGTAAGTGCCAGGAGTGGCAGTGCAGCTAGAAAGATGGGGTGGGGAAAATAATTTCTCTTACACTTTTATTCTCTTGCTCCACTTCCAGGGACCTCACTGTAGAATGTGCAGTCATTCTACAGTGAGGTCCTACATAATTATATTCCATCTCGTTAAAAGCCTTCTAATGTATGTCAAGCAGAGAATTGATGATTGACCCAAGATCAGCCAGTGACTTCCATGACTGTGTAGAGATTTGAACTCAAGCCTCCTGATCTTTTTTCGACTATCATAACTACTACATCACATTGATTGCCAGATGAAGTGTGTGAGACTTCTGGGGAAATTTGGTCACAACTTGAATGCCACCAAACCAGAGTGTCAGGTTTTGATCAAATCTAATTTTCTACTACACTTTTAAACTTGCATTTTAATATCTCATCTTCCAAATTCTTCAATTATTATAGTGTTATCTCATTTTTAAATTATTCTGCATCTACATGGTAGCTTCTATTTTACATCAGAATTCTGACATTTATTTATGTTGTTCTTGTCGTTATATATTATCAAGTCACCTCCAACTTACACTGTGACCCTGTGAATGAGTGGCCACCAAAATGTCGTATCATCAACAGCCTGCATTGGTCTTGCAAACTCAAGGACATGGTTTCGTTTATCGAGTCAATCCATCTCATATTTACTCTTCCTTTTTTCATGCTGACTTTCAATTTTTCCTAGCATTATTGTATTTTCCAGTGACTTATTCATACAGTGGTACATTTGCAGTTTACAGCTATGTATCACTTGGCATATATCCACAGACTTAACGTTCCCAGAAGATGCATAGGGAGCTTATTAAGAAAACCATTTACCTTCCCAGCTGCTGAGTGTCTGCCTACATGACTTCTTTTACATTGACACAGACCCTCTTGTTGCTAACCCTTATAAGCATGGGTATGTACGTAACCTCTGCCCCTGCAAGATACTGTTGGCCTATAACTAGAGTTGATGGAAGAGGCAGCATACAACAGCATGTGAAGGCCACAAGTTACCCACCCCTGCCATAAAGTTTCATACATAAAACCTGAAATCTAAAACATAGGAGCCAGAGACAAGTAATCTCACTTTAAAGAAACGACATATTTATACTTTTCCTTCCTTAGATACCCCATGGAATCTACTGTCTTTGATTATTTAGTTATTTGGCAGAAGAATGGGATGGGCATGGGTGGGGAGAAATATAATAATTGAATATGGACTCCAAATTTGGACCTAATTTAAGTTTTTCTTCTCTAAACACAGTACATGACATTCCAAACAACACAGGTGTCACATTCTTGGCAAGTGCTTTAATATGACATCCACATACATGGCTTGGAATAATATAGCTGTTTCTTTTTGTTTTGTTTGTTTAAAATCCCAGGACGACTAGTGGATGCACTCAAGAAATATGAAGTTATCTTCTATCTTGCTGGCTCTGAGGTTGTATTATCTGCTCTCTTCCTGGCTATTGCTTCCTACTGTTGCCTGAGCAGGGAGAAAAAGAAAACCTCACAACCAGAAGATCCTCCTGCAGGTGGAGGTGGCAGTGAAACAGAAGAAGCAGAATCAGATATACAGGAAGGGGAGGATCATCACCCTGGTGACAATCGCCACCTGTCCCACAGCATGAACAATGCTGGGACTGATGCAGTGAATCACATGGTGGAGAACCGGAATGTGAATGGAGCTGGGCGGCCAGAAGGAGAAGGTGAAGCCTTCATACCAAGTGGCTGCAATATTGACCATGCAGTGGAAAGAAATAGTTTTTAGCTGCGTGCTTTTATGAACAAAGACAATATCATCCAATCGATGGGAACTGATCTGATTTAAAGAAAGTTGGTATGTTTGGATGGTGTGGAGAGAGAGAGAGAGAGAGACCAACCTAAGAATAATAATTTTATACCCATTAGTTTCCCCCTAGAGAGAGAGAGAGAGAGAGAGAGCAACCTAAGAATAATCATTTTTATACCCATTAGTTTTCCCCCAATATGGCCTGTATATTCCACCAGGCTCTCTAACATTGTGTGGGTATGGCCCAATGCATTGGGAAAACTGTAAATTAGAGGCACCTAGTGATCGGACTGCTGCTACTTATTCTACATGACACCTTTTCTAAACTACCTCTACTTCTGAAAGACCAGAGCCTAACTAATGGTGGCACCCATTACTTCAAAGGTATATAAAGGTATGATAGCTTCAATATGTTGACTACCAAAAGTAACAGACAGCATGCAATCTGTGAGTAGTGACCGCCAAAGCTTAAGTTGGGTCCAATTCTGTCAGTAAAGCCTAGAAGCTTATATCTCTTCTAGATGGGTATCTGATGGTTGCTATCTTGAGTGGACCATGGGAAGAGAAAGGGATTTGCTATGTCCAAAAGGGGTGGTGGTGAAACAGTCTAATGAGGTTGCTGAAATGGGACTTTGAGATAGGTCTAGTAAAGTTTGGGCTTTTCAGGTAAGTTATGCCGTCAGGCACAGCCTATTTTGCAAAAAGGTGCATCGTGGCTGTTTCATTTCAGGACAGGGCTTTTGTCATGAGTTTGATAACTGAGAAAATCTCCTCAATAATACCACAATGGGAGAAACTGAACTTATTAGACATTCTACTTGTTTGAAGTGCTTAAACAGAAATAAATTTTATCCATTTTGAAGATATACACAAATGGTAAATGCTACAAGCACATGACTGTAATATTAACAGTTACACAGCACTAATGTATTTATTATTATAGAAAAGACCGTAAGCATGTACCAATAACACTTCAAACTGTTACTATGAAATTATTCCTATGGCAACCAGGTAAAATGTCATAAAGATGTAAAGGCAAAAAAAAACACCTTTAAAATAATGTGTATTGAGATAATTGCCCTGTTTGATATAAACCTGATGAAAATACTATAGAAGATGGGTCAATTAGAGACCTGCTGTGCATCCTTTTCTACTTTCTAAGTGTTCTTCTGTCTTTACATATTTCTTATTCTTTACCTGGTTCCAGCATGAGCAATTTCATTCTTCTTGTCTAAGTAAGGCATTATTTCTGTGCATTTTCAAATGCTGAATTACAGCAGTTTTCTGCTTATAGCATTAATGCTGCATTTGTCAATTGGTAGCCTTGCATGTTACCTTTTCTACAACGTAAGCAGCTGAGATCATTACTTGGGGATTGTTCCTCTCATTTTAACATTGCCTCTTCCTCAACTGCCTCATGCCAGGAGATGCTTGTGAGCCATGCCATAGGCAACCAATTGACCGCTGTGCGAATAGTGCTGGACTAAATAGGCTTTGTATCCAGTGTGGTGTAATTGATAGCATGACAGACCAGGACTCTGAAAACCGAGGTTAGAATCTTCACTTGGCCATGGAAACTCACAGGGGAGAAGGTTAGAATCTTCACTTGGCCATGGAAACGCACAGGGAAGTGGAACAGATAAAATAATTTCTGGAAAAACCTTATTAGAGTCACTATAATTTGGTTCTGACTTGATCACACAAAACTAATAAGCCTTTGGTCTGATCCAGCATGACTCATTTTATGTTCTTATGACATTATCTTTCTTTGGTAGGGAAGATTTGCTATTAAAAGCTGGGCTATTCCTATTATTAGTTACCCAAGGCCCATCTTTTTTCCATGGCTTGAGAATGTCACAGAACTCTGAGCAGGAGTTTAAACAAAAGTGGATGCACTTTTGATCCTGCTTCAATGTGTAAATCTTTTGTTTTTAGTTTATCAGAGGAGTTCTTAGGGCTTGTATAGCCCATCTATGTATCTCAGAAAGGTAGAAATATTTAGCATTCAAGGAACATAATATGTGAAAGGAAGTCAAATATTTATGTTGTTAACAGACCTCTTTTTGTATGCCAGTTCAAAATTCCTTTTAGCTTTTATTCTACTGGAAGGATTGCCTTTTTAAAACTTGAAAGCTTATGCACACACATAAAAAATCCAATAAAATAAATTGCCTTTTAATCCTTGTGTTATGAACATATTTGTCTCAAATATTCCTCCATTAACGGGAATAGTCTGATCAACATGCTGTTGATACTAAGTACAAACAGTGATGCAAGGTATTGCAATTACAAGAATATCCTAACCTGGCTTGCCTGCCTAAATCCATTTCTCTTCCACTGTAATTGCCCTGCTTTTGAACAATCTAATGTATAAACATTCAAGGAGAGCAGTTGGGATTCTCAACTCTTCTTTATTCCTTCCATTACTGCCATGCCTCTGTGCAATGCCACCCATGTCTTGCTGCAAGAAAACCCTATATGCCTTGGTCACTTCAGAAAGATCCCTCCAAACCAAATGCAGGGGCAAAGTAGCAGCACACCAAAGGACAAGACCTGAAATAAGGATAATCTGAAAATGGGAGCAGATCTGGTCTGTACAATAGCTGATTCTTTAAAGGGGGACAGATTTGAGGGACAGGTAACTGGGCAACTTCCAAATGCTCTCCAGCCCTTAGGGTAAGCCTATGAGACCATCAGAGATACTCAGAGTTGACAGTTAAGGAAAATAAGTTTTGGAACTGCAATGTAACACAGCACAATCATTTTCAGCGTTAGTTCACACGACCTGCTGCGAGCACTGTTCTTAGATCATGTGGGCATACAGGACATATTTTATGCCAATGTGATTGATCTAATTGTTTCAGAGGAGATGGCAATCAGATCTCAGGAATGGAACAAAATGGAGAAACACTTGAATAGCAGGAGCAATGTGAATTTGCCTTGTTTTCAGTTGTCCCACAGGAAAGGCTAAAAAGCAAACTGCTTCTGCTACAGTGTCACCAAGGTAAAATGAAATGTCAGTTGGATTTTTAAAAAAGAATTCTTAAATTTCATTTTCTGACATCTTTATCTGATGTTCCCATGGGTTTTTGGAGGCTGGCAAGTTTTTTTGTTTTGTATAATGACCAGTGCACTAATTTTTCTGTGTCTAATTTTGTGATCTGTTTGTGCAATCTTTGGACTTCTATCATCATCATCATCATCTTGCCATATCACTACACAGGCAAGCCTTTATAACAGATAGGGGCTAGTGTCCCTTCAGTAACTGTTAGACTGCAGCTCCTCAAACCTTTTCACTATTGGCTCTGCTTGCAAGAGCTGATGGGAGCTGCAATCCAACAACAGCTGGAAGGCGACAAGTTGCCCACCTCTGTCTTCCAAGAAGTTTTTGCTGTTCTCAAGGCACACCCATGCCCTGAAGAATAATCCACTCCCTACAATGTAACACAAGATGCATCCCCCCCACACCATTACATAAAAGGAACCAATGTTTTCACCAAAGAACAGAGCAGTCAACAGGCTGAAGTGAAAGAGTACACTTGGACAACAAGCAAGCAAGCTAAGGACTTCTCAGGTCTTTAAAGATGGATTTCTGAAAGAAAATATGCCTTCTTGGGCATAAATCACACTTAATCTGCTTTAGTACCAAGTATCTTGTGATCACCTCCTGCAAAAGTCTTTTCTTCCGGTTGCCTCAATAATCTGACCTAAAATGCCTTGGAGCAGCACCTTAAAAGAACTGTGTTACATCACAGAAGTATCAGACAATAAGTACATTTTTCAGAGGCTACAAGAGAAAGGGTGCTTTTCGGCTGTCCTTAGATATAGTGGAGGAAGTCTCTCTAATAGAACATGTTTTGCAATGGAGAACAAATCACAAAGATATCAATTTGTATTATTTATATGATAATAGAGAAGTTTACATAATAGCCTAAATTGTTGAAACTTTAATCACAAGGTGTCTCAGTGGGTTGGATGCATAGCTGCAAAGCCCAAGGTTGGGAATTTGATTTCCCACTCCCAGAAGAACAGCCAGGAGGTGTGGCCTTGGGCAAGCTGCACAGTCGCTGGATGCTCCCAGAAGGAAACAGTGAATCACTTCTGAGTAGTCTATACCAAAAAAAACTCTGGCAAGGTTCACCATAATTTGGCACTGATGTGATAGCACATAATTTAAGAACATGGATAACAACAACCCAGGAACAAGTTTATTAACATAACAAGCAGATCATCTAAATACTGTAACTAAATGTTCAAACGCAGGGCTGGGGAGCTTGTGGCCTTCCCGTTGTTTTGGACTACAACTACAGCAGAGCTTTACTACTGACCATGAGAGGAGAGCTGATCAGAGACTAAAACAAATTGAGATGTCCTAAGTTCTAGCCTTGGCAAAGAGTTTCTCTGTTTGGCGATTCCATGGTGTTCTTTCCAATGCTTTTGTACTTGGTCTGTTTGGAACTCTATTTGGAACTTTGTCCTGCCAGGTTCCAAATAGAGTAGTCCTAGAATGAGCTGGAATTTTTAGGATGTATACATTACTGAAACAGCGACGTCTACGTTGGCTTGGGCATGTCCTGAGAATGGCTGATGGTTGGATTCCAAAAGATCTCCTATATGGAGAATTAGTGCAGGGAAATCGCCTCAGAGGGAGACCACAGCTGTGATACAAGGATATTTGCAAGCGGGACCTGAAGGCCTTAGGAATGGACCTCAACAGGTGGGAAAGCTTCACATCTGAGCCTTCAGCCTGGAGGCAGGTGGCACATCATGGTCTCTCCCATTTTGAAGAGACCCTTGTCCAGCAGGCTGAAGCAAAGAGGCAGTCCCAAAACCAGCAAAATCAAGGAGATGGATAGGGGACAGATTGCATTTGTTTTCAGTGTGGAAGAGATTGTCATTCTCAAGTTGGCCTTCTCAGCCACACTAGACACTGTTCCAAGTCCTCCATACAGAGCAAGTTACCATAATCTCTCAAGACTGAAGGATGCCTAATGTACATGGTTAGTCATGTCTTCTGAAAAGGTGGATCATTTTCCTCTAACAATTCTCCACTGCCAGCAGGTAGCCCACTATGAATCTGTAGAACAACAATGACCCTACCGTCCCCCTAGTTCTCCTCCAAGAAGGGGTAAAGTTCTGAAGGGGTAAAGTTCTGCCAGGATCAGTGGCAGGAACACACCCAGCTGCCTTCTTAGTAGAGTACTCCAGGGCACATTACCACTGCACAGCTTGGAAATACAGTGGTGCCTCAACTTACAAACTCAATCTGTCCCAGAAGATGTTCATAAGTCAAAATGTTCGTAAGTTGAATCAGCATTTCCCACAGGAATGCACTGAAAACCGATTAATCTGTTCCAGCTGTTTTTGGTCATATGTAGAGGCACCGGTCGTACGTCGAAGCATTCATTCCCATAGGAACTAATGCAAAACCAGTGAATTCGTCCTCTACCACTAGGGGGAGAATGTTTTTTTTTTAACCTAAGATGACTTAGGTTTAAAAAAGGGCAGGAAAGGAGGGAGGGAACACCTTTTAAACCAAGCACCTTTTAAACCAAACAGCTTTTCAAATGAAAAGCTGCGTGGTTTGATCATTTCAAACGAAGCACCTTTTAAAAGGAATTTTACATTTTAAAATTACAGTACCAGGCAGTCCCAAGTCTCTCTCCATTCTCTAACCACTGGGGTAAACGAGGTACAGACAAGCAGCCTCTTCGCTAATCAACTGTTAACTGAAAGTTCACCTTTCTTGCTTTCGTAAGTCGAAATGTTCGTAGGTAGGGGTGTTCGTAAGTCGACACACCATAATAACTTTACTAAGCTCTGCATTATAGCTACTCACATTACCAATGAAAAAAATAAAAGCATTTTACTGGATAATGTATTTAATATCAGGTCTGTTCACTTCTGAAAAACCTTCCAGAAGACAAATGAAGTTCAAGCACGAGACTTTTTTAAAAAAATGAAAAAGCACATCTAGCAAGCCATTTATGGCCAGGCAAATTAGAATGCTTTGATTACCTCCATCATGAAATCTCTGTGTTCAATTTTCCCCAGTTTTTGTGTGCGGATTATGCTCCCTATGGTGCAAATGTGAGAAAAATAACAGAGCAAACTATGTGCCTGTGCACAGATATTTTGTAAAGCTCAGAAGTAACCACTTTCATACATCACTGGTGAGTACAGTATTCAAAACTCTATGCAAAGCTTAGATAACTAGAACTGATGCAAGGTAACTTTAGCTACAGTCTTTGTTAAGTGGAATAATTTCCGATGGCATGCAATTCTTCTTGTAAGACAACTGTTATATTCTGAATTCGCTTAAGCCAATGACAGGTGTTGTGGGACTCTTGTTCTTGATCATTCCTGAGTGCAGGACACGCAACAATGGACTCAAGTTACAGGAAGCCAGGTTTCGGTTCAATATCAGGAAAAACTTCCTGTTAGAGCAGTGAAGTAATGGAACCAATTACCTTGAAAGTTGATAAGTGATCCAACACTGGAAGCATTTAAGAGAAATTAAGACAACCACCTGGCAAAAATCCTTTGATTTGTATTCCTGCATTGAGCAGGGGATTTAACTCAATGGCCTTATAGATCCATTCCAACTTCATTATTCTATGATAGCTTTTGGGTGATCGCTTCTTCCAGAAAGGGATTAAATTTAACCCAAGGTACAATCCTAAAAGGAATGATGCAGCATGTCATATCTATGGATCTCACATTATTATGAAAGGTACTGTAATTTCAGCCCCTCTGTTTTGAGGGTAAATTGCATTGAAAGAGCCCAATTCTTCCTGCTTCTTCTGGTGTTCTGAACAAAAGAATTAATAAGAGACCAACCAAATGGTTAAAATTCAAGAGGAAGAAGAAAAAACAGAAAATCCATATTTTTCTTTATTAGTCACACTATATGACATGTAAATCTCAATGAAGGACACCCTGGATCCATGTGGCCTTTTCATGCCCATTCACAGAGGAGGAGGCAACAGAAAATAAAATGCCCCAAATCATGGGGAAGCATATCATAAATTAATACTCTTATATAGATTCCCTCTTTGCCCAATGACACAGTCTGCATGGAATCCACAACAAGCAAATTTACTTTTCACCTCAAAAAAATCACTCTTACTAATAGAGAACAAATATGCCATCCTATTCTGTTAGAAAACTCTAACAGAACTGAGGGGGATTCCTCAGAGAATACAGAATTTTTTTCCTGTCCTTCCTTCTTTCGAGGTATTTCGGGGGGGGGCAATGGTTGGGGCTCACAAAAGACTGTGTCCTCAGAAGCAGCACTTCAAAAGGGGTAAAAGAAAATGTGTAGCTGTAAAATACAGGGTAAAAACACAGAATTGTAATAATCAAATTGGTTGTGTGATCTGATCTTCAGCCCCCTAATGCAAATCTATTGCCTCCTTCCATGGATACCGTTTTCTCCCTCCTCATATAAAATTTCCAAACCCAACACCTTATTCAACTGTGGATAAGGCTTATGTTTTAGAAAAATATCATGCATTGACCAAGACACCTATACAGGAGTGTGTACAAGGCAGGTTGTGCAATCTTTAAGTGCTCCATTTGGTTAAGGCCAGGTACGAATTCATTGCACATGAAGATCAGTGGAGAAAAAAAATATAAACTACAGCACAATAATATAGCCTGAGCACCAAGTTCCATATTGCCTATCCATACTGGCTTGATCTCATTGAGGACAATGACAAAATTAGATGGATTCTCCTGACTGCCCTTCAAATTAGCAGCCTAGAACTGATATTTCAGGTTTCAACCAGGTTCCATTTAACATGCTTCCTTTCTTGTGCAATACCAGTCAAGATCAGTAGTAAGGAATCAATATGTTCTCAGCCTTAAAACCAGCTACTAACATAGAGATTAAAAGCAGAAGAGGATGAAGGAAAGACCCCAAATCATTCCACTATTCTTCCTCTTCCACATCCAGGTCTTAGCTTATCCATAAGAAGTTTGGGATGATCACAGTAATCATTCTCAATACTTTAGTTAATGAACATGTGTGTGTATGAGTGTAAGGATGGAGGTGAGAGTAAGGTTCCTCTCATGGGAGTGCCATCCGTCCTGCCCTCTGCCTGTGAGTGTGAGTGTGAGTGTGAGTGTGAGGATGGAGGTGAGAGTAAGGTTCCACTCATGGGAGCGCCCTCTGCCAACAAAGAAGTGCAAACACCACCTATTCCCCCTCCCCGGAAGATAAAACTGCCAGGAGTAAACCCGGAACCGTAGAAGAGAAATTAAAGGAGTTGACAGTTAAAGAAGGCGGGACCATTTTGGCGGGAATGGAAAGGAAACTCCTGGTGGAGGTGGAGGTGGGGCTGGTAGGTATAAAAGGAGCTAATTGGGATTTGCCTGCAGGCTGGGAATGGGCGTGGATCCAGGATCCGTGGACTGGAAAGGTGGAGAGAACAAATATGGACAGATGACTGGGACGAGGACACCATCCCCCTATTGGAAGGGGGGTCCGGAGAGTCGTTGAACCCAGATGTTGTATTGGACTGGCCAGGACCTTGGCATGTTCAAGACTGTAATCCCTTTAAAATTGAAGACTGGAAACCCCCTACCAACATGTTGTTGGAGGGAGAAAATGCTTGGAATACCTCCGTTGATACTGGTTACTTGTTAAACAACCCAATAAATGTTACCCCGATTTCAAAACCAAGGAAATCTGTCGGTTTATTTCAAGAGAAACAGGAGCCCTCACAGTGAGCCCTGTATAATCACAGTCCCTCTGGCCACAGAGCCATCTTGAGTGAATGGGTATTCCAATGCAGTCATCTCTCCCATACCAAAATCTTGAGGTGGGCAATAAGATTATGAGAAAAATTCATTTGGAGAGACAAAAAAGAGGGAAGCAGGGAAAGGCAGGTTGTGCGAAAACAGTTTGAGCACAATCCACCCACCCAAAGCTCCCACATCCAAAGCACAACCCTGATTCCTCATCTGGCCTTACACAAGAGAGAAAAGACACTGTGGACAAGTTGCCTGGAGAAATAGAATTTATCGGCCTCTGGCAGGGATTCTTCTACCTTGCCAAGTCCATGAGCTCAGGAATCGTCAATGAGTTTCTCACCAACCTCTTCCTCCTTCCTTTTGCATTCCACACCACCACCACCACCACCAGTTTCCTCTTCCTCCTCTGTTCCATCCGTGTATACATCCTTCTGCCCATAACTCAGTGTGGTATGAGCCAGATCCACTTCAATGGGGAAGACATCTGCACCCCTCAGGACAGCATAGCAGTCATCATAGTACTTTGAAAGGGTGGAAACAAAACGCTGGAGTTGGAACACGATGTCTTGCACTGTGAGGGAGAAAGAGTTGTGATTATGGGGCAGAGGACACAGCATCCCTTGCCCACCGCACAGACCCACCTGTGAGAAACCTGTACATTCCTCAATGTTACCACTTCCTTGGTAACTTCCTTGTTATCTGCAATACCTGCCCTTTCTGAAGCCACAAAATAAGATGCCGAAATGCCCAAAACACAAAACTGAAGCGCAATACTTTAGAGACATGGGGGGGCTGAAATACAGGATCTATTGCCTTATTTAGGGATGTGTTGAAGAGTAGCCAGAATGGACAAATAGGTGTTTTTGGACCTCATTTCGATTAAAGAGGGTTGGCTAATATAAATACAAAAGGGAGAATCCAAGGTCCATGAGGTGCCAAAGGACAGAAGCTTCAAAATTGAACTATTTCTCTTAAAGTAAACCTTGTACCCTGCTGTGCTAGTTTAAAGTGGGCTAAATCTTGAAAGGGTGACTCTCTTTCCCTGCCACCAACAAAAGCATACAATTATGCATGCTTCAAACCTTCTTAAGGTATCTTTTCAAAGCTTGCAATAAAATCCCCTGGCACAATGTCACATTCCTGATATTTTAGCTTAACCTTAGATAGTTCCTGTAAATGAAAAACATTCCTTAATTGGATTTCTGCCTTCCCCCTCTCCAAGAAAAGGGCTTGGGTACATGAATGGGGAGAGAATGCCATCAGCCCCAAGTGGAAAATACTAGTGGACCTGATAGGAAGGTGTTCTCTCTTTTTGGCTTTCAGGGGACTGGGTATTTCTCTCATGCATCTGCAGGCTGTTCAATGACAAGTCAGTCTTGCTTGCGGTAAAATCTATGTATCAACTACAGTTTAGACTGAAAGAAAAGGAACTACACTTACCATGTTTCTGATCGAGCAACTCCATTTTTTCAAGTACATCCTTCCTAATTTTGGCAAAGCGTGCACGTGCCTCCTGGCGGCAACGAAGGATTAAGCGGTACTCATAATTCCCAGTGCTAACACGGTAGAGAGGTTCTCCAAGTGCCTGCCCAAAACATCACATTGCTGTAGCAACCAATTATAAAATTGTGCAACAGTTTTAGATAGAAACTAAGGGTTTCCCTGATGTGCTCCAGCAAACATCAGCTCCTCACATGATCCTGCTGCGACACTACTTGGCTTGGAGCCCTACAGTAAAAACTAGGGACTCTGAAGTAGCTTTTGTAGAGGAACAAGCAGAAGCCAAGAATCATGAGGCTGAGGCAGCCAGAGTTTCAATAAAGAGAGAAGCATCAGAAGGCGAATCATGTGATAAATATAATGAAAGAAGCAAACAACCAGCTATTACAAATCAGGAAGTCTCACAAGTCTGCAATTCCACTAAAGGAAACAATACCTATTCCACAGTTTTAAAAGAAGACATGCAAACAGTTACCAACAGTGATTTTTACCATAGTATGTATTTACTGCTTTCAGTAAACATACATACTCCAAATTTTGATCTCTACCACTTTCCCAGTAGTTTTCTCATTATATTGGAACTATGTGTTCTGAAGGATGCATGTAAGCAATTTTCGTTAGGAACCTGTGGCTCAAATGCCCCAGTAAGAAAATGCTCCCTTTCCCCAATGCAAGTGTGATATTATTTATTTATTCAATTAAAATATTTTTACCCGGCCTTTCTTAAAAGGACCCAAGGTGGCTTACATCACAATATTTAAAGCTTTTTTTTAAAAAAAAACAACAACCAATAAGTATACAAATATTTTTAAAAATAGGGTATTATATTAAAAGCAGTAAATAAAATCAATACTAAAAACACATTTAAAAACAACAGAGCACAACAATCCATTAAAAAAAACACCAGGGATAAGTTACAAACGTTCATTTCTCTGAGCCCTTCTGGCCAAGGCCAAGCGGTGTGGTTTCAGTCTGGCTATGAGAATGGCCCATGTGCTGGAGGGTGAGAGCCACTATTTAAGGAAACACAGAGTCACAAAAAGTATTGGCATGTTTGAGACGATCTACCCAGGGAATATATTAGGGATGAGGATTCGGTGGCCCACAAAGTGTACCTGCAGCACCACAGATCCCTGCATCCTAATCTGTAGAGTAATGATCAAATGTTCATCAAGATAATGTCACTACATCTTGAATTATTGTTCTGTGTAGGATTCTAGAGAAGTAAAAATTCCTACTAAATTCTTTACCATCAACATAGGCCATCTCAACTTGATGAGACACCTTGTCAGGAAACTACCTTCCTCCAGCGAATCGGATACAATGAATGCTAATTTTTTTTGTCAGTACTATTGCAGTTTATGGAAAATGTATCTGCAAAACTAGTGTTTTTGCACTTTGAGGTGTAAGCCACACACCAAGAGCAAGCAGAAAAGGACTAGCTGATTATTTTTTTAAAAAAGGCAGACAATCCTCCCGATACTTCTAAAAAATCCATGAAACAAAACAGCAGATATTGCCATTTCCCACAATCCTTGTTACCTGCAAGCTTATTTGCACAATTTCGCTTACTCTCAGTTAAATTATTCTTCTCATTCTTCTCTTAATAAGAGCATCACAAAATACCTCATATCCTTGCAGGGTAAGGAGAGTAATTCTGTGCATCCTCCTCCTCCTGTGCCAGAATGAGATATGTGATAATTTATATCCCTACCCTAGACCTGAGTAACGGTACTAGAAGCCAGAATACTCAATGGTCTTCATATACAGTATTTTTAAGCGCGAGGACTGGAGGTATTGCTGCAAATCATGCATGACAGAAGGCCAGAGGTAGTCACTTAAAATATTGCCAAACTTATTTTATAAATGTATTATTGTCCAAAGTTGGTTTTGACCTATATTGTTTTATTGCTGCTTTGTATCAGGTTGTTAGCTACCCCAAGGGCTCTGATTAAGTTGTGCTTCCCAAAAGCAAATAATGTAAAACAGATATTGAATAAAATGTATACATTCTCAGGAAAAGCATTATCAAATAAACCAGCTAAAGTGACTGAAGTAAGTTGTAAGCTCTTCTGCTGAATTCCTCTGGGACTCCTTTCAGAGCCGAGGAAAACTCAATTACAGATAAGGTGTTTTATAAGATGTTATGATTGGAAACAATTTCCATGACAGCACAAGCTTTTTTTAAAAAAGCTAAATATTTGGGTGAGTACATCTACTCTTGCACTGAAATCTGTGGAAGCAAGCAAGTACATAAGAATTTCCAGAAGCAAAGACATGACCACAGTGGAAACTTCACTGATGAAACCCCAGTACTTACAATGCAGCTGTACTCCTCGTCATCCATCTCCTTCACCTTGAGACAGTAAGACTGAAATGGAAAAAGAAACACACAGAGTTACAATTTTCAGAAGAGTAGCTGTGATTATTTGTTGCAATAAAAGTGAGAGAGTTTTGTGGCATCTTAAAAAGATATGGCAGGCACAATGCATATGTGGTACAAGGTTGGAAGGGGTGAGAGCACGGGAAGGAATTAACATTTCTAGAAATCTGCTTTTCATTCAGGGAAGGAGTCAATAATTTAAAGGCACGGGAAGGAATTAACATTTCTAGAAATTTGCTTTCATTCAGGGAAGGAGTCAATAAATTAAAGTGGTTGAACAGTAAGATCAAGATCGCTTTTCCAGTGGTTATGCTTGGTAAAAGGGTAAACGGCACACTAAGATTAGAAGATCTAAATACCGAAGGAGAAAGAGACATTATGCAATGTATCCCTCAAAGAGTTGTTGCTTAGAGCCAAGGGAATGGAAACTAATTATATCTAATAGTTTTAACTTGACAATGGCTCTAAAACCACAAACATCTATGCTATGATGGAATGACTGCCAGAAAGATCACAAGGCAAAGAACTTCTGTACACTTCCTGAGGTTTTGGAGGGGCTCCCCCATCATATGGTGCTATCAGTTTGCATCTAATACCACATGGGGGCACTGCCGCATCTTACCATACCACACATTTTCCTACAAAATATATTGTAAGTGGAAAAACAAGCCATCTGAAACCAACAGCACCATGTCTACTTCTCTCTCAACTATGTTCCCTGAATGCCACTATAATTCTAACATACAAGCAGCTCCCATAAAAAAATCACAGAGGCAACTCAAATGGACATAGAGTAAAACAAATAAATGAAACTGCTGGATAGCTCAGTGGCTTAGGCAGAGGTTGGGAGTTTGATTCCCCAATGTGCCTCCTTAACAGTGGCTAGACTTGATGAGCCATAGGATTCCTTCCAGCTCTGCAGTTCTAAGATGATGATGATGATGATGATGAAATATTCATAGCTGCCATGTCAAAGCAATTAATTCCTTTATTGAAAGTTTTATCTTTTTGCTCATAACAAAAGGTAGATATAAGCAGTCAAGTATAGTGATAAACAGCTATCAGCTTTTTAGCAGAGACTGGCTAAAGAATCATCAAGAAACAGAATGATACTCCATTGTTACAATTAATTATCACTAATAAGATTATAATCACCATACAAATGTTTGGCACATTCTTCTCAACTATCATTCAAACCTGACGGCTGGAGGCTCAGAGCAGAGCAAATTAAAACACCACACGTGCCAGTTTCCATAGCAGCTTGGGCTTACTGGATCTCACTTGGGAATTGAGGACCATTATGGAATGGTCATTCTGGATCCAATCAAGCAAACGATTTCTGTCCATTTACTGAAGACATCCAGCTGGATGTATAGGAGGCTCCCACTGGAGTAAGGATGTGACTTTCACCAATTCCACCTTCAGCAGCCCCTGGGCCACCTCTAATTTGCTCCCAGAGATCTCCTGCCCTTCCAGAACAACTTTTCGGAAGGTACAGGAGGCTGTGGGAGCAAAAAGGAGCATTGCTTTCCTCACAGCTTTCCTCCAGTTCCTATGGAACTCTGCTAAGTGCTAATCTGAATCCAACTCAGTGGCAATAAGCTTCTGATAAGCATAAGGTATGAAAGATATACTCAATGTTTTCCTTGCATTCCACTTTCAGAAGCTGGAATGAATAAACAGATGGATTTATAGCTGATTTTTCTTTCTTGTTCACTTCCTAAAGAACACTCAGCGCTACCTGTAGTTAGGATTCCAGATTAGAGGAGCTCTCTTAACACAACTCAAAAAAACCTTTCACTGGGCAATAAACTTAAAACATATGCATTTGGCTTATCTCAATCCAAACAAACAACTGTAGGAGAGAACACTTAAAATAATCCTAAAACAAATGTGTTTGAAGATGATTTCATATCACAGGTCTCCTGTTCTTTTTCTTTAAAACCACCTTTTCTTGTCACATTTAAAAACAAAAAATAATGGCTCACCAAATACTCAAATTTGACATCCAAATACTTCTTGATAGTTAGTCTTGTATCAGGAATGGCTTTGTTCAAGTAAGTGTTCAAATCTGTCAACATCTGAAAGGCAACACTGATAGTGAAAAATAAAGATAGAGAAAAACAGAACAACAGCCATTTTGCAAAATACTTCAGATACTGTACAAAGTAATGCCTCAGCTTTGACAGATCAAAATCATTCGGCTGTTTTAGACAACCATATTATCATATATGCAAATCTTATTTAACCATGAAAAGGAGGCTCACACTTAAACTATAACACATTTAGATTTGGCTTTTCTTTTCTAAGCATTATTTCAAATTATTTTGATCACAAAAAAGACAAGAAAGCTTCTTCTAGAAAACAGCTTCCCATCTCTTATTTCTACTTTTCTCTTAATAATTTTTTCCTTCTTCATGACTTTTCTTTACCGGTTTGATGGTTTTTAGAAGGAGGATTCCAAACTTCTCAATACTGCGATGAGCTTCTGCAAACTTCACAAATGCTTCACTGGCAGCTGGCTGAGGCTCCCGAACACCAATGACTGAGAAAACATCACCAAACGCTAGATGGAAATAGCAAAAACACACTGTTGGGGGAATGTGGTAAATAACATGTATTCAATTTCAACCATATTAATGATCAATGAGGATCCTTCCCTCACTTTAATTAAACATCATAAACAACATATAAAAATGCCTTTCCCACTTTAAGTGCCCCACCACCATAAAAATGAACATACATTTAACATATAATTAGGAGATGCTCTCCTGTTAACATTGACAATAGCATTTCCTTACACATGTATGCTCCTCAGCAATCAGCTTGCAAATTAAGCTTGTGTCTACCTCTCAGTGACCATCAACAAAACAAAGCACACTGATACAAAGATATAAAAACTAAGGAAAAAAGTTAAATATTGCTAAGTATACTGTTTATTTGACATTCACCTCTGTATCATGGATAATGGTTTGTTTTGTCCTAAGACTGGAGTTGGATGCTACCTCACTGATGTCCTTTTATCTCATTCAGTCCCAATCATAGCCACCAGCATCTCCCACTTCATTGCCCTCTTATAAGAGACTCATGAGCAGGACTATACTACACATAATATTAAATATGCAGCATGCAGTTTCAGACCAGTTTTTATACTCTTGAATAAGAGCATAATGTCCCAATCTGGACCAGGTCTACAATGTGTGGGTAAGGGGACTTAACCCCTTCCATTCCGTGCTGTCTTTATAATCAAAATTCCTAGTAATACACTGAAGTAAAACAATTGCTTCAAACCTGAAGTTCCTTTGGATACATCATTAAAAAGCTGTCAGGATGTACTACTTCACAAATCAGCATGACTGCTTCTCATAGTCTGCACTATTGCTTTGGAGATCATCTGAGCATTTTTCAAAATCTAAGGTAAAAAGCAACATTTTGCCCACAACAACTTGGTCATAAGCTGAGAAGGATTCTATTCTTTTTACCTCTGTGAGTCTGAGATAGTTCAAAGAAAGCTCTAAGGAGACTCTTTGTATGTTCTCTCAAGCCTAGATGAAGGTGGAGAAAAAGCACAAGTTATTCAACAAGGACTCAGAACTTTTCTTGCCTCTGCATTCAGTATTTTGACACCAAATCACATGCCTGAGAGAAGAAAACATAGTGGACGTGCCCACTATGACACTGTATTTTGTATTACATGGACATTGCTGCCCATGCTGGTTTTCATGACTGAGACAGAATGCAGAAAGAACAGTGTGGCAAGAGCAATTTTGACTTAGGTATCATCATCTGTGCTACTCCTGCATCAGTCATGTAGTGTATGGCTTCTGGGAAGAGATTCTCTGTGCTCCATCCATTAGCCTCACTTCATACTGAGTAAAACTAGTACAGTAAATACTGGTCTTCTGACATGTGTCTCTGGCACAGGACAAGGAAATCTGTATGGAAATGGAAGACAATTTTGTAATTGGTTGTTGTTGGTTTTTCGGGTCTTTAGCTGTGTTCTGAAGGTTGTTCTTCCTAACGTTTCGCCAGGCTCTGTGGCCGGCATCTTCAGAGGACAGGAGTAGCACTCTGTGCCAATTTTGTAATTCATCTTGGGAAGTGAAATAGTAGAAAGGGTGATTACAAATCTGCTAAATAGGTAATTATTACCTCCATCTACTATGCATAGATTTGGGTGCATGTGTAGAGTCTGTAGCCTTGACTGATTTCACTGTGCCCCCATGGGGCCTTCTATACAGCCAGTTTGTCTGCATGCCTTGCTCCTCTCTACTGCTCAGGTGACTGTATTGGCTGGCACACCCATCAAGTGCTCCCAGCAGGAGTCAAAAGGGGAAATGGAGAAAGTGATCAAATTGGATCACTGCGATTCCATCACTTGCTTCCTCCTTCTTGTCCAGCTGATTAGTGCAGGAATACCAGTCACTGCACCCTCAATTACTCCTAGTATTTCACAGCCACGGAGGAAGTGGTTCAGGGGCAATGCCATCTAAAGATGTGTGGAGGGGAGGTTTACATCAGACTTGATGTTGTCTGAAGAGGGTGGTGTGTGTCCACATTAGTGGGAGAAAATAAGTAACAGAAAGGTTGCATGAGCATGTATGTAAGAGAAAGAGGCAAGGAGGGAGAACTCAGGCTCTGTCGATTGCATGGTTTTGCCACAGCCACCACCAGCATCTCTTATCTGCTGTTCATCACTCCCTGCAGCCAGCTGCATACCAGCTTCAGCCTGAGCTGAAGTCCTGCACTCCTATATGCTATGGAAGTCTTTTCCAACATGGCTGGAGATGACAGGAGTTTTAATCCAACCTATCTGGAGGATATTAAGTTAGCAAAGACAGTGCGATGGGAAGGAGAGATAATCAGGGCATACAGAGCGGATTTACCTTTGTAAAGCTCTGCTGTCCCCTCCAGTTCTTCCAATTTCTTCACCAAACCATCTAAAACAAGATGGCAAAGGGAAACAATTACTACAGTGCATTATATTCAGAAGTACAAGGAGATCTGTGATGATGGTTAAAACATCAGCAATGCTCTCACACATGCAAATTTTAAAATTTATTTTAACTGTGCTTAAATTATAACATCATAACAAAAATAAAAGCATACAAACATTAAAAAAATCCAAAACAAAAAACTCAGAACAAACTACAGAATGTTAATAGAGAAGAACAGAATAATAGTAATTAAGGAAAGGAAGGATGAACCAATATCTTAAAAAATCTAGATATATACTTCAATATCTGAAATCCTTTTGCTTAGCATAGTATGTCACACTAGAATAGGCCCACTGTGGGTATTTGGAGAGTCAACTGCTCCATAGGTTCCATTGATTCACGTGGGTCTATTTTAGTTGCAATCCTAGTCAATAAAGATAAACAATTATCCAACTATTCATATGTGATTGCCATCTAAATGTCAGAGGTTTAAATGCTGAAAGAATTATGAAGTCCTCAGTCCACTGATTAATAGACTTTGGCATTTATCCTTCTAATTTTCCAGTATCAAGCATTTAGTCACCATAGGGGTATGGTGAATCTATTTCTGTGGATCATCAGTTAATTTTCATGAAACAGGTAGATAGTTTATCGAAATATATATCACGTGGATCATCAGTTAATTTTCATGAAACAGATAGATAGTTTATCAAAATACTGTATATATCATAATGGTCAAAGATTGCTCCATTACCAAGTTAATGTACACAATAACTTCCCCAAGAAAGAAGTTTCAACTGGACACATGCAGGGCATCTGTTTAAGAAATGCAGCAGGCATATCCCATCACCAATAACTAACAGATTTATTCAAGTCTTTGTTAAGGAATTTTTGTGGTGTCTGTATAAATAAAATAATATTTTTGCTGAATAAGCTGAATAATTTTTGCTGAATAATGTAGATCTGGAGATATAGTATAAATAAAATAATATTTTTGCTGAATAAGGCACAACTTTAGATCTGGAGATATAGCAGGTGTATCAGTCAAAGCTATTGTCCACTATTTAGATAAAATGGGATGATCGAAATCAGTGATGATGAACCGTTTTGAGCCCGTGCCCAAATTGCAACACAAAATCACCTTATTTATTTCAAAGTGCCAATACTGCAATTAAAACCTGAATGCTGAGGTTTTAGCTTAGAAAAAACAACTGCTCCTGCTCTGCACGGGTTAAATGCTTGTGTCCCCACCCCCATGGGTGGTATTAACAAAGAAATACTTACTGGTCCTCCAATCCCCCTTTGGGCTAGACTGGTAATGGTCGCCATTGCACCCCTCTGCTGGACCACTGTTCCAGCAGAGGGGAGTGCCAAAATCCAGGATTGGAGGATGGGTAAATATTTCTCAATGGCAACTTACGGCTCATGTGCTCATAGAGAGGGCTCTGTGTGCCAGCTGTGGCACATATGCCATAGGTTCACCATCACTGATCTAAATCTTCACTCTACGCTTTCCTCCAGACTTATATATCATACTTATTGGTCAGCAATACGTATTTATGAAGAGGGTTTCTTTTGCTCTATTGAATCAACCAGTATGTTCAAAAGTAGGGGAGATGCTGAGGTGTCCAAAGTTGCTAGGCTGATCACGCCAAGTACAGCTAACCCCAGCTAAAATGAAAGGCAAGAGCAAGGGCATGCTCTCACTGTACGCAGGCTGGAATACAAAAATATAGGACTTTGCATCACTTGGGCTCTGCCACCACAACCAAAGCCCAAATATGAAGTTTTTTCTCTCAAGTCTTTTACCATTGCAGAGGATGGCCCGGCTCAGCCCCAGGGCATCTGCTGTCCCTGAACTCATGTTCTCCACCAGGCGATGCTTCACTTTTTTCAGCACTGCATTTGAGGAAACAGACACAAAATCCATGAGCAGGATCAAATATCTGAGTATAAAACACAATGCCTGCGCTTCATCTGCTCAGACTAAGCAAAACTGGAATAAAATAAAGCAGAGATTCTCTCTCCCCTTTGGATCCTCTGGGTGTTTTGGTTTTCAACCTCCAAGAATCCCTGAGAGTTGGTGATATGGGACAGGGCTTCAGACAATGCTTCAGAAAAGCCACTCCTGCTTGAATTACATCAGTGTGGCCATACATAGATACAAGACATACCAATATCTAAGGTCTTTCCTTGCTTAGGATCAGCCTGAAGCTTGTTGTAGTGGATTGTTACTTCCTCCTAAAATAGCAAAAAGATAAAATCAAAGCTCCTGTTTTGCACCAGATGGGAGAGTTCACCCACTAATGAGCAGAAATGATGTATATTTTACATTTCCGCATCATCTCCCTACTTCTCACCTTGGCCGCTCGTATCATCTGGGCGACTTCTACTTTGGTTTTTCCTTTGACTGACTTTCCGTTGATACCTGTGATTTCATCACCTGCAGCCAAAGTGCCTTCTACACCAGCAGGTGTATTGTCAAATACCTAAGGAGGATGACAAAATAAAGATGAAACCAGGATAATGCCAAAGAAAGATCAAGGAATAATAACAGACCATTGTTTGTTTTCACATCACTTCCTTCACAGTCAAGGTTCTCGCTAAGCTGGGTGCACGTGCGCACAACTCAGTTTCCCTCCTTGCAGCTGTCTTCCTCCTCTGCACAACAATCACATTAGGTTCCAGTCACAATGGAACCCAGCGCACAGGGGAGCAGAGCCACATGTACATGCAGTTGTGAAGCTGCACATGGGAGAGGCAGAAAATTGGAGAGTACATTGCTTACATTACTTATAATAGTAATAATTACATACCATCAAGTCAATACTAACTTGTGGCAACACTTCTCAGTGCTTGTTAGTTACAACATACTCAGAACTGGCTTACTGATCACTCTTTATGGGGCCAGTTGAGGATTGTGCTGTTTGCCCAAGGCTACAAAGGCTGGTTCTTCTTCTGGGAAGAAGGAATCAAATTTCCAAGCAGGGAACAGATTTCCATCTATTTCTTTTTTTAGTACTTGCAATCTCCTGAAAAGTTGCTCCAGAGGACTGGAAGACTCTCCCAAAAAGTGTGAGGGTGAATTCTGGAGGAGAACAGGTAGAAATAATCTCCAACCATCCTCATGCTGCAACGACTGCCGGGCCTGTTTGTTGCCTAAATGATAGAATACATTCTACTTCCACTCTAAATCTAACTCATCATTTCTGTACATATGTATGTCTAAAGCAATGACTGGCAGAATTCCAGTGAGACAGTACTGTGCTCAAAACTGTAAGGTACTGAATCTACTGGCAATTCTCACTGCCCTTCTTTCCCCAAGGATAAGATACCCATCTCTCACAAAAGCACCAACCTGAACAATGTAGAGGCAGGGACAGTACTGAGCTCCTCCTCCTATGCTGATGCCAACCAGATTGTGATTGTCCTTCTTCAAGGTCACTGTCCCGGGAACAGTAGGTATTCCCCTAGAACAAAACAGAGGCATGCAAATACACATGAAAATTGCCGCTGACAACTACCTCTCCCTGCCTTTTCCATTAACACATAGATTCCTAACAAGATGCTAGAAATCAGTGGTGTGTCAAACGTCCATTCCAGTGTTACATAGGAAACACCCTGCGACAGATTGGGTGCTTTTAATTTGTATACTTATTCATGAAAATTGCTATTTAGTTTTATTCATCCATTTAAAATGGTTCTATACCACTACTTCATCATCACATGTTGTGCATGATGTTATTAAAAAACTACTATCTTTACAACACAACTAGACAAAGGTAGAAAAAAAATAACACCAGCAAAGAAATAAACTAAATGATCCACAGTTTTTAAGATGGAATTAAATTGTCAAGTCAAACTGAACAAAAAACAAAACAAAACACAACCCTACGTGCATCTTATGACATTTTAAAATGTGAATAATGTGCCTTACATAATGCAGAAACCCTCCAGACAATCTTTCAGTAATTCAACAAATTTCATAATGACTGAAACTTGTCAGAGAAACTACTTCATGTTTTTCTCTCTGTAACGGTCTTTTAAGCACTTAGCACAAATCACCATGACATTTCCCAATCTTAGTCCTATAATCATGATACCAAAAAACTTTATTTTTAGTGCATGCTTTGGGATCTTCCCTCCAAACATATTCACTAGTAAATCTGAAGCACAGTATGAAGTAAAAAAGATTGCTCTCACAACAAATTAGTTAATTTATTAGAGCTTTTCAGCCCTTCAGCTCTGCTCTTGTGATAACATCCAAATTTGCTCTAGACTAATTCAAAACAAGAACAATAGTATATTCAAACTTCTGGAAACCAGCATCAAATATACATATATACATACTGTAAGTTATATTATGCTTTTAAAATATTAAAAATATTCTACATATATTATTTGTGTAAGAATCTGGTCAGGTGAACCCCTTTTATTTCCCAGTTACAGACAATGAGCTGAAGTTGGAAAATGCCTTTCCTGTGACTACAGATAAAGTCAAGCATCAATAGAAAAGCACTTTATCATTCTTTACATTTGTGTTCATCTTTCTGAGCAGCATGGACTCAAGGAAGATTAATGCACACACACAAAAAACACTGAATGACTAAGCTTCAAGAAACTAATAATAAAAAGCACCATTTTATGTGCTTGCCCAACAAACTACGTATTACATGTTCTTATGCAATAAGATTCCTTTAGTATGAATGAGGAAATAAATTACAGTGATGCCTCGCTTAGCGATCGCTCCGTTGAGCGACGAAATTGCTTAGCGATGGACTTTTTGCCATCGCAAAAGCGATCGCTTAGCGATGGTCCCTATGGGGACAATTCGCTTTGTGATGATTGTGGGGAAGTGATCATGGCAAAGCGACCCTTTTTTAACAGCTGATCGGCGGTTTCAAAATTGCCACCGGGAAAACAAAATGGCCGCCCGCTGTTTTGCCTCGCTTAAGAGGCAGCAAAAAGGCCGCTTAAGAGGCAACGCTATGGAGGATTTTCACTGAAAGGTAAGTTTTTAAGCCCATAGGAACGCATTAAAAGCGTTTTAATGCGTTTCTATGGGCTTTTTAAAATTGCTTAGCGATGAAATTGCTTAGCGACTTTTTTCCAGAACGGATTAACGTCACTAAGTAAGGCAACACTGTAGTGCATATATATATTTGGTACTTGAAAATGGCAACCTTGTTCGGTAATGCATTAACAGCTCAATCCCTGTAAGAGTGTTGGGGAACAACTATTACAGTGGTGCCCCTCATAGCGACGATAATCCGTTCCGGAAAAATCGTCGCTATCCGGATTCATCACTATGCGAAATAAAAAAGCCCATAGGAATGCATTAAAACGTGTTTAATGCGTTCCTATGGGCTTAAAAACTCGCCTTATGCGAAAATTCTCCATAGGGGTGGCCATTTCAGTGCCTCTAAAGCGAGGTGACAGAGTGGGAGGCCATTTTGGAATCGCCAATCAGCTGTGCGAAAATGGGGCCTTGGGAGGACTGCGGGGGAGCGCTCCCCCCGTCCTCCTAAAGCCCCCGCCGGCATTTTTGCCCAGCTGATCGGTGGGGCTTTTGGATGATGGGGGAAGCTCTTCCCCCCTTTACCCCTAAGCCAGCATTTTCGCCCAGCTGATCGGCGGGGCTTCGGGATGATGGGGGGAAGCGCTTCCCCGCGATCATCCCAAAGCCCCGCTGATCAGCTGGGCGAAAATGGGGCGTTTGCGATGATCGCTTCCGCAATCATCGCAAAACGTTTTTTCCCCATAGGGAACATCGCAATGCGATCACTTTTGCGATCGCAAAATCTTCATTGCTATACAGATTCGTCGTTAAACGGAGCGCCCGTTAAGCGAGGCACCACTGTACATCCATAGCTCTACTGGATTGCTGCAGTCAAGTATGAGGTGTAGAAGTGTTCATATTCCTTACTTAATGACTCCCATTAGAAAAAAATCATTATCCTAACTTCAGGAATCAATTTCCAGGACAATTTTGTGAGTGTGAACAAGCCACAGTTTCCTCTTAACACTGCACTCAGCCCTTCTCCCTTGCTGTCAAAACACTCCCAGCTGATATGCTAAAAGAGGTTTGAAATCCAAAACAAAAAAAGACATTTGCATTAATAACAGAAAGAAAAGGAAGAAAGAAAAGTAAAACACTTACAGCTTGTCCTCCTCAATGTCATAGTCCAAGTCTGTAAACATTGTTTTAAATTACTAGTAGCTTCTTGTGGGAAATTTGAATTGTCCCAAAGCACCTAGATGGGAGAAAACCACAGTACCACAATTAATAAGTTCATCTCAGCAATGTAGAATATGAATCACCTATTTTTGTGCACACTAGAATCAAGTTCAGGTTTTTGTAAAGGAAGCAATTTCAACCACTTTCTTTTCTGCACATGGTGAAATATAATGGGAGAAGCATTTTGATTTCTGAATGGATTAATTGTTTTGGTTGTCCACAAACTGATCAGAATCTATGGCAGACCTGGACAAAGTGTGGCCTGAGGGCCACATACGGCCCGCGAGCCACTCCTGTCTGGCCTGCGGACAGTTTTGAACATCAAAACCATTTACAGCTTTTTGTCTAAAGTTGATCAGTTGCTTATCTTTAACATACTGCAAAAACCATCTTTAGTATTTGTGAAGATTAAAAGGTTTAAAATAGAAACAATCATAGCATCACTGTTTCATTTTATTTTTAAGTAAAGTTGGTTCGGACCCCGAATGCATTCTTTTTTTTCATGTGGCCCCCCTATAGAAATTAATTGCCCTCCCTTGATCTAGGGGAAAACATATTAAGAATCTGATGTGGTAGTGTTAGATGTGATTTTCTACCTCTGAGCCTGAGCAATGCTCTGGAACATATACAGTGGTCCCTCACTTAACGACATTAATTCGTTCCAGCGAAATCACTGCAGAGCAAAAACGTCGTAAAGCGAAATAAAAAAGCCCACTGAAATGCACTGAAAACCATTCAATGCATTCCAATGGGCGGAAAACTCACCGTCCAGCGAAGATCCTCCATAGGGACGGCCATTTTCGGTGCCTGTAGAGTGAGGAAACCATCCAAAAACACAGTGGGGAGCCATTTTGAGCACCCGGTGGCCATTTTGAAAACCCGACAATCAGCTGTTTTGATTGTCGTAATGCGAAGATTCGGTTCCCGAAGCAGGGAACCGATCTTCGCAAAGCAAAACAAAACCAAAAAACAAAACCAAAAACCAAACCCATTTAAAACATTGTTTTGCGATCACAACTGTGATCGCAAAAACATCGTCGTGAAGCGGATTCGTCGTTATACCGGGTAATCGTTAAGCGGGACATGACTGTACACCGGGCAGGCATTATGTCCCATCACTATATAAATCACATTCCTCAGCCCCCACTGTTGAAATAACACCAGTACCAGTTCTGAATGGCTGCCATTCTTCATTGTACATGGAATGGATGCCATAAGGTAGCACAAAGCAATTTTGTGGTAATATGATTCAATGGTAGGAACTAGCAAAACAAGCAATTCACAGGAATAGCAGGTTGCATCCAGATTTCCACATTATATTTTATACAGAAATAGACATAAGCCAGCATGCATGCATATTGTAGTCCACTAATACTTCTACACCATGCACAAAAAGAGATTGATTGAAAGACAGCTCTTTTTTAATCTATCTACCATTGCTTGTGCATGTGAAAATTAAAATGTCTAGAATTCACATTTGATTTAAACATTACTTTCTTAAACTTCTCCACTTAACATTCACAACTAATGCATCAGAGGCTCAAAGAAATCAGACCACCAGTCTATCTAGCCTTGTACACTCTGCTTTGATGGGCAGTAGCTCCCAGAACCATTTCCCCTGGTCTACTGTCAAAACCTATAGTTGGAAATGCCTAAGAATGAACATGGGACTTTCTATCTACAAAGTATAAGCTTAGCCCCAAAGTTATAGCCACCATTTTCTGTATTATTTCTACAAATATCCCTGACACATACATTTGGGCATGCAGCTTACTACTATTATGACGACCATTACCCATGTTGCCAAGTACCTATGTCTGAACCTTCAAGTGTAGGTTTTGGATATACAAAAACAGAATGAAGGAACCTGCCAATGAGGTCACATTTGATTCCCAGTGAGTCTTTCTTGTGCAGTGACACTACCACATTCACAGAATTATATACAATTTCATATTCAGTTTGAAGTCATCCCAAGTTTCCTGCTACTTCCCTGCCTTTTTCTCTCCAAGAAAAAAATATTAAAAGGGGGAGGGAATTATAATACTTTTTGATTGGTAGTGCTAGGAGCCCTTCATACAGAGTTAACCTATGCCTCATTTCAGCCACTTGTCTTAAAGAGCATAGGAAAATGAAGGTGACAGATACTATCCGTATTAAAGAGATCACGCTAACCTCTATCAAAAGATTTAGTTACCTGGTCACATGTATGGCAAAAGGTAAAGGTAAAGGTTCCCCTTGGCATTTATTCCAGTCGTGTCTGACTCTAGGGCACAATGCTCATCCCCGTTTCCAAGTTATAGAGCGAGAGTTTCTCCAAAGACAGCTTCCGTGGTCACGTGGCCAGCACGATGAGACACGGAATGCCATTACCTTCCCACTGTGGTGGTAGCTATTTATCTACAGTACTCACATTTTTACATGCTTTCAAACTGCTAGGTTGGCAGGAGCTGGGACAAGCGACGAGAGCTCACTCCGTTGCATGGACTGCTGGTCTTCTGACCTTGCAGCACAGAGGCTTCTGCAGTTTAACCTGCAGCGCCACCACTTCCCTTCTATGACAAAAGTGCTAAACAAATTTAAAGAAACCATGGCAGACCTAAAGGGGGGAGGGGAAGAGAGGGTGGCTAAAGAAGAATAAGACTGATTGCTGTTTAAAATCAGTCTTTACTTTTAACCTCAGCTTGATAAGCACACATTATCAGGTGATATTTCTCTCTGACTTGAATTTCTGTGACAAGCGGCCCTGTGTACAGGCAACCCCATGTGCAGATCAAGGTGCAAAGAAATCCAGAGCAGCGAAGAAGTTAAGAGAAACAAATGACCAGGACTAGGGAAACCCATAATAATCATCTTCCCCACTGGTTTATGGAGTGCCTTTACACCAGTCATACCTGCCAGCCACACACTACAGTGGACCCTCGACTTACAGACGGCTCGACTTACAGACTTTTCGACCTGCAGCCACCATTCCAATATGGATTAATTCCGTAAGTAGAGGGTCCACTGTACATTGCCAGGTTATAACAGAACACCGGTGACAGAGGAGAATCATAAGAGACAGATACCAAGCACTCTGCAGGCTGGAGTCCCTTAGAGAAAGGCAGGATAGAACACGCAAGAACAGCAATAACAGAGGAAATATGGTCGTATTGCAGCGTTGTTATCTTCTCTTGCCCGGTTTCCAACCTTCAGTCAGCACAACGGTGTACAGGGTCACCTGTCACGGAGGTGCAACTACGAATCTAGAATCCCTACCTGGCGTTGTGTGGCAAACGTGTGGAGAGACTAGACCCCCATTTTCCTCTTCCTCTGGCAGGAAGGCTGGGGAACTCTATGCGTGGAGATGGGAGTCGGGGGGCCACAAGGAGGCGCCCCACAAGCTTTCTGCACCCTCAAAGCTCCCCACCGAGCTTCTCCCCGCAAAAAAACGGGGGGGAGGGAACTGACGGCCCGCCTTCTCCTCACCGGAAGCGGCTGGCCCGGGCTCAACATCCGCATCCACCTGCCCGTCTCTCTCTCTCTTCTTCGCGTTTACCTGTCAAACTTAGGAGCGCGCCTGGCTTCTCCACGTCACTGTGGACCCAACCTGGGCGGAAGCCCCCGCCCACTCGGCTTGCTTAAACCCCGCCTCCTTCAAGGGCCTCTGGGCTCCTGCGGCCGCAGTTGGCGGAAGGCTCGAGGAAGAAATCCAGAACGAACCCTCTTCGTTCCTCGCGATGCTACACTCCGCCGGCGCGATCTAGGGGCAGGAGGGGAGGGGGGGAAAGGTGAGTGAAGAAGGCGGGGAGGGGAGCAAGCCTCTAGTTGCCGCGGCAACGAATACGGAGCTTGTTGACGTCACACGGGCGCCCGAGAGCGTGAGGGAATAGGCGAGGGGGCGGGGCTTAGACGTCTCCCGTTGTAGGTAGAGGAGAAAGTACGATAGGGATAAACGGGGGAGTGTGTGAAGACACTCTGATGCACCTCAGGGTCTACCCACCTGGCATGGTGAATGTCAGGAACGTTGGAAAATGCCTCAAACCCCTGGCCTCTCGCTCCCAGGATGGTCAACGCTGACTGGCAGCTGCTCTCCAGGGTTTGAGGCAGGATCCTGTCTTAACCCTACCTGGAGTGATTTGCTATTCCTAGTGGACTCCCAGACACCCCCTCCCCCCGTTTATCTTCTCAAATGAGATAAAGACAGAAGCTGTGACTGCGTGGTCAAATACTGCGTGTTTACCTTCCAGATCATGGACTTGCCTCCACAACCACCCACACATACTGCCTTGAGCTACTTCTACAGTAGAATACAGTACTCGTTGAAATAAATGGAATTCATGATAGTTATGGCAAACAGGTTCCATTAATGTATGTACAACATATACACTTTTAAGTTGTACTGATACTGGATTTAAGAATCCAGTTAATTAACTTTAAGCAGATCCAATCTGCTTAAAACAAGCTTTGTGCATGTTCTGATCATAAGTGAAGAACTTCCTTCTGTGTTCTTTCTGACTTCTGTGTTCTTGTTTCTGTAATATGGACATTATCCTGATCAACCATTAGCCTGTGTTTATGTGCTTTTCTCTGCATCGTCCAGTTCTTCTTATATATATCTTTTCAATATTAATAAATGCTGATCTTCCTAAATGAACTGCATGTACAGTGAGCAGTGGGTTAAGTATGGCATTTTCTTCCATAGTGACCTGACTTCTGCACCCACCCCAGTCTGCTATGAAAGAAAATAAGATCTAACGGGGTGGATAAAAAGTATGTGAGAATGTGAGCAGAAACAATCAGTTACCCCATAACTGTAGTGGAAAACAGATTAATATTGGAGACAGGTGATTGATACTATCTTTGAAGAGTGTGGAATTAGATTTATATATTCATTCATTCATTCATTTTGTATCCCGCTCCCATTAGTGTCAAGGCACTACTCTGGGTGGTTATAACACATATAACAGGAAAAAAATAGCATTAAAAGCAGCAACAGTAACCCTAAAAACAGATGGCACCAACTAATCATATAAACCCAGAGTGGAAGGAGGAAAATGGGAGAGGGGAGAGAGAAAAGGGGGAAAAGGTGGTCAGCTAGGTTTGGTGTGGAAAGACTACTTGAAAAGCAATGTCTTTAATTGCTCCCTAAATGTCAACAGGAAGGGGGCTAGGTGGAGCTCCTTCAGAAGCTGGTTCCATAAAACTGGAGCCACTTCAAAGAAGGCTTTACCTCTTCTAGATGATTTATGGGCCTCAGGGTGGTCAACTGGAGGAGCCTCAACTGGTATGATCTTGTGGGTTGGGCAGATGACATAAAGGAAATATGCTCCGGCAAGTAACATGGTCCCAGACCGTGGAAGGCTTTGTATGCAAGTGTCAGAATCTTGAACCTGATCCAGGACGCAACAGCTAACCAATGCAGGTGACCCAGAACTGGAGTGATGTGGTCAAATTTACTCACACCTACCACCAGCCTGGCTGCTGCATTCTGGACCCACTTAAGTCTAGATCAGGATCAAAGGAAGCCCCAAACAGAGAGCATTGCAGTAATCAATCTGGGAAATGACTAGGGCCTGCACCAAAGTCCTGAGGGAGTCCTAGTCTAGGTAGGGGTGAAGTTGGATATTAGCCTAAGCTGGTTAAAGACTGATCTGGACACAACTGCAATATGGAACTAAAAAAAGTGTCCAGATGAATGTCCAAATTATGCACTTAGTCCCTAAACTGGAGGGAAATACCATCCAGCCTAGGGACCACCCCCTCCCATACCTATCAGAGGTCTCCCCTGCCAGGAACAAAGTCTCCGTTTTTCTGGGGTCAGTTTGAGCCTGTTAGCCATGGTCCATTCCAGTACTGAAACCAGGCAATGCTCAAGTGTCTGGACGGCATCCACAGCCGAGGTGGTAATGGAGAGATAGAGTTGTGTGTCATCATGACCTCAGTCGGCAACTTAACATAGAAATTAAACACCATCGGGGATAGTACTGATGGCTGAGGAACCCCATACAAAAGGGTCCAAGGTGCTGACACCTCCTCCCATAGCTGAACTCTTTGGACATGGTTCTCGAGGAAGGATCGGAGCCAGCTAAATGCTAGGCCCCCAATCCCAACCTCAGAGAGCCTGTCCAGGAGGATATCGTGATTGATGGTATCAAAAGCTGCTGAGAGATCTAAGAATACCAATAGGGTGCATCTGCCTCTGTTAGTCTCCCTTAATAAGTCATCCTGCAATATGACCAGTGTTGTCTTGGTATCCCGTTGTGACCTGAATCCAGATTGGAATGGCTCAAGGCAGTCTTGCTCCTCCAGGTATGACTGCAGCTGATTTGCCACCACTCTCTCAATTGCCTTGCCCAGGAATGGCATGCTAGCAATTGGACAGAAATTGTTACGGTTGTCTGACACTTAACTGGGGGCTTTTGATGATGGGTTGGATGATGGTTTCTTTTTAAACACAAGGAAACGTAAGTGGAAACTCCTGTTTATGTCCTGAGGAGCAGTCACCAAATAAAGCATATCTCATAGAAATGAGACAAGTTTTGTTTTGATGCTCAAACACTTTCATTTACTAAGGATTTTCCTCCTCTGATTAGAAACTGTAATGCCTTGTTGTCTACTGTTCACATGACACAGAAGTTAAGGTTAAGTCCTTGTATTTATAATGCCCAAGATTTTTTCTGCATGAGAGAGTTTGTATGTCTTTTTATATACATGTTTCTCTCTGTCTGTTATATTTATTTATCTAGCTTGCCTTCTTCTGAGGAGCTTAAAGCATTGTGTTTACTCCCTGCCTTTATCCTCATGACAATTATGTGAAGTAGGAAGTGCTGAATTCTTGGACAATATAAAACACACACCACATTTTTATCCAAGATGAGGTGTGGTTTAACAGTTCAAATGTTTTAATGTTTTTAGTGCTGCAAAAGGACTTAAGAATTAAATGGGGGGCTTTGATTTTACAACTTAAGAAGTTCATTTTCTTCCATCTCTGAAGAAGGAAGGCCCTTCTGGCCTGACTTTTGAGGTAAAGAAGAAAGGCCCTCTTTCATCTAGAAATGTGCCTATGTGGAATATGACTTCGTCAACAATTGCTTCTCTTTCCTACAGGGCATAAGGTTTGGTCTTCACAGTGAAAAGGACATGAATGGCTGTGGTGATCAAAGCGTTTGGAGGTGAAGCCACCCATGTTGAACAGGCAGCATGATGTGTGTAGGAAAGAGCTTCATATTCTAATCTACATACAAAACAAATGATTTATTCTTCCAAGTAGCTGGCAAGGGGGTCTTATGGAATAAGGCAATGTAAGAGAACTATAGTTCAGTGGTAGAGTGTCTTCTTTGTTACAGGCAGGATAATCCAGCCTCAATCCCTGGCATTTCCAATGAGCAACAGAAGAAGCTGCCCTATACTGAGCCAGACCATTGGTCTGTCCTGCTTGGTGTTATTATCACAGGCTAGTGTTTGCTTTCCAGGGTCTTAGATGGGGATTGTTCTGCACTCTATTTGGGGAGGACTGAGGTTGGGACTTTATGCAGGTACAGCTGATTCTCTATGCCTGACATATGTCTATTCCCCATATCAGATAATAATCAGAGACTCTAAACCAGTGGTGTCCAACCTTGGCCCTCCAGATGTTCTTGGACTTCAACTCCCAGAAATCCTGGCCAGCAGAGGTGGTGGTGAAGGCTCCTGGGAGCTATAGTCTAAGAACATCTGGAAGGCCAAGGTTGGAAACCACTGTTCTAAACCAATTGTTCCTATCCTTGGGTCCCCAGACGTTCTTGGACTAAAACTCCCAGAAGTCTTCACCCCTAGCTGTGAAGGCCAGGATTTCTGGGAGTTGTAGTCCAAGAACATTGCAGGACCCAAGGTTGGGAACCACCACCTTAAACAGATTCTGCCAGTCAAGAGATGACAATACTAGGTTAGATGGATATAAGCCTGACTGTTTATAAGTTTGTTTCTTATGTTCATCTGTGAGTCAGTGGGTGAATCTTGCCATATACAAAGAGCAGCTGTGAATTTGGCTAGAGCAGGTTTATCACAGCACATAGTGGCTGAGGTTGATGGGATGTGTTTCCAAAACATCTGGAAGGAGCAGAAGGCTGAGTTAGACTTCCTCATTGCGACAGATGTTGCCTAGAGGAACAGAATGGACCTATCTCACATGAATCCTCTTCATTCACCATATGCCAGAATGTGATCTTCACACTTTACAGAGAAGAGGCAAAAAGCATTGCAACTGATCCTATTTCAAACTTGTCCAATCTGGTGCTCTTCAGATGTGTTTGGACTACAGTTCCCCCAGCTAGAGGACACCAAGTTAGAACAGGTTGTGCTGCTCCACCTTTTGATTCCAAGTTCTGTTGCAAAGAATAGTAAGGAACAACATACCTCTGTTAAAGATGTGTGGCGGATTTTGAACGGAATTCTTCCATAAAGAGCAAAACAAAACAAAAGCTCTGAAAATACATGATTGCAAATTTTGTTTGTATAAGTTTAGTAGGAAGAGGGTGCTAGAATTAATATGTGCAAATGCACACTGTCTCTCTTTCAGGGTGGCCCATTACAAACCCTTCTCTTACACCTTCGTACAGAGCCAATAGGAAGGATCATTAAAAGGATAAATATTTCTAGCACAGTGGCGCCACCATGTGGATATACCTGAGAACTTCAGTTCAGGAGTTAGGATTGTTGACGATTGATTTGGTTTGATACTAGTATGTGTTTTTGGTTTCATCTCGAGGCCCTGGGTATGTGGATTGTTATCATGAGTGCCTGCTCTTCAAATTATATCACCA